AAATGTTGCTGCAATTTAATGAAAGGCGAATCAGTGATCATGAATGAAATAACATGGAGTTGAGCTAGTTGGTGCATATTCATTTGAAAAGTCAGGCTTTTGTGATGCCTTGACTTCCTTCTTGCGTCCGTGTTTGCACGTCGTGTCTTTTAGAATGATAATGATTGTTTGTGAGGTAAGGGCTAAATAATATGCCGCGTATGAAAGAAAGAAGGAAAATTATTAAAAGGGCTCGTTTTCTTTTCAGTTTTACGCATACTGTGAAGCTTGGGAAACCATTAGAGACATTCTTGCCCGCTGCAAATGTGCGAAGGTTGAAGGTTTGGTTCCTGCCAGCAGCAAGATCGTTTTTCATAGAGTTAAGTTCATTCTTGTGTTTTAATTACCACCGCACTTATAATGACAACAAATGATATCTCTCATGTGTATCTTTGATTTGTTTCTTGGTTAACTTAAAACGCGAACAAAACGCGAAGGTTATGTAAACATAACCATCGGTTAAAAAAGCGTGGCGCAACGCTTGTGGATTAGAGAAAGCACGGCAGGCTCTTGGCACGATTGTCGTTAGAACCGCGAATAAGTGTTTCAATTGCACAAGCCGTCGCTTTGGCAAGTACTCCTAACATTGCAAATTTCTTATGCATGTATATTAGTGACGAAGTTCTATTATGCCTACAACGCTTAGTCGACAAGCCTGATGGCCAGTGCAAGCTATAATACACTTGCTTGACTTTTGTAATATTCTACGTGGGAATCAACATCTATTTTTCAGAGCGAAGAAATCGCCATCGATGAAACAGTCAAGTTCGGAACTATATTTAGCATGTACCTTCTTCAGTCTGAAGATACGATATGTTGGCATTTACATACTCAGAATGGTGATAAATGCTGAGTAGTGCTGATGAGTAAAACTTATTAGAAAAACGTTTGAAACTCGCTAGCAGAGAAAATCCGTCAAGTAAAAAAGTAATAGAAAACGAAGAAATCCGGGCAGGTGTTCCTAATGTAGGTAATGCCTTCGAAGCTCCTCCCGCCTTTCATTTCATGCTATGAGAGATATTTGATGAAAATCTGCGAATCCCAGTTCCTCACTTCTTGTAGATTTGGGGAGATTAATTCTGTATTGTGGAGAGTACGGGTGGATATTACTTCGGAGTGAAAATATTAAATTCCCATCACTTTAATATTTTACGTGCACCAGCAAGTTTCGCTTGAGTGAGAATAATTTCGCCACTGCTGTTTGCTCAAGCGCACTTACGAGAGACGTGACATTTTTTGTTATTTCAAAGCAACTGAGACAGAACATGTCGGTTATCGCGGGTGGAGATTAGGCATGGCTGTTAGCAAACTTGGCATTCGGGATGTTCGTTTTCGTATACGTACATTTCATTCTAGCAATAACGATTTTGCCCTTTTTACAAAATGCCGAGGTATGTGTGGAGTCGATTAAATAAGCGGTGAACGTGCATAGGTATTTCGCGAGTGAATAAAAGTTTAAGAAAAGCTGTTTCAGGTAGCTTAAGTCTCCAATTTTAAAATAATAGATCTTTCTATTTCAGGTCTTCCAGGAACTTTTAATGCGCTCAACTTTTTTTTTTGTAGACTTCAGTTTTCTCTAATTATATTTCACATACGTTAAACTTAGTCTGAGAAATTGCTGTGTACAGTTACGCAACCTGTTTAGTTGGTTACGTTTTCTAGCCCCGAAAGAAGATTTGTCAGTGCGGATTTCCAGGCAACAAACGGCATGTAATCAAAGCCACGAAGCGTTATGGTGCGTGATCATGGCCAATATTTCGGTCAGGTATACGCCGAGCCACGCACACATTACATTTCTTCTTCCGAAAGGTTTTTGTTTTGTGTCAACGTAATCGTTACTCGAAAACGCGCTTACGTAGTTAACAAGCAAACCTAAAATATTTATATTAACGAGAGGCCTAGTACGTACAAAGTACAAAAAAAAAAGATCTGGCGGAAGGAGCTCATCTGGGTCCTATGTTTTACCATGCCTTTTTCTTTTTGGTTTGCGCCCCGAACAGCTCCAGGTGAAACAACATAGTTTCGAACGTGGTATTACACTCAAAACACATGCCACGTCCTGCTCTTTGACGATGGTTTAACGTTTAACAGTTTAACGTTCACCGGTGTTATCAAGAAGGCTTGTTATACACCGCTTATACTCCGAGCACCCTGTTGCAACTCGCAATGAGCGTGACTGTACCTAATCGGCCCCTCTTAGTATAGGCATAGAAAGAGTAAGACGGAGTAGGATTATATGAAGTAGCATTAGCCAAACTTCAATAACGCGAGGTTCTTCTGAGTGGTTGGGATTACCAGCGGCCTATGATCGCTGCCGATATGAGCCAATGTCACCTATATTTCACGTCTTCTCACTGACGTCGTGACGTCACGTCTACACCAAGCCGTGGTCGACAACTTCTGGCGTTTTGTTTAATTGACTCGCCAGCGCAGCGGTGTTCACGAGATGCCGTTAGGTCATGGGGAAAACCAATAACCAGAGTAATATGGGCGCCATTTGTGTGAGATGTGCCACGCTTTCGTAAATATACCCCCTAAATAGTTCATAACAGAGCTTCTTTCGTCTAATGTTTATGTTTCGTGGGATAATGTTTCGTGTAGCCAGATATTGAAAGAAAAAAAAAGAGCTCATGAAAAGCCATCCTGATGATGTGGCTCTTAGTTTATCGAGACATCTTTCGTGCTTTATTTTTCAGCGTTTTCTTTCTTTTAGCCGTGTTCCGTAATGGCAGTCGCTTAGGCATGCTTGTGCGGCGCGAGGTGATTACATAAACAACTGATACCGCTTCGAAGCTGTTCTTGGCGCGCATCTCCGCAGTGGCTCGCTAGCTACTGGCCAGTACGTAGGCACGTAAGCCATCAAAGGTGCTCACGGGTGCACACTGAACACGTGATTAGTGCATGGGTATGCCCCAGCTACGGTACTCAACTGTTGGGTGTCACGCAAACCGATCGTAAAGTGTGTTGTGCACCTGCATACATCCCGTGAATGGGCATGGAAAAGTGCGCCACACTAACCTCCGCCTTTTTACCTCCATCGCCCCCCCCTTAGAAAGAAAAGGAGGCATTGTTTACAACCCACAAAAAGCGCGAAGCGTGGCGTAATGAACTGCGAGAGAAGCGTAGAAAAGACACGCACGTCTGCGAAACAAAGGACACCTGACCGCAACATAAATACAACTTTGCGTGTTCCTGACACGCAAACTTATGACACAGTATCAGTTAAAAAAGATGCTTTGTAAAGAACGCCACTGTACTGCGTTTTATGGCAGAGCTGTTACAGTCGAGGTTTTCCGTGTGTTGTAGATAGAAAATTACCACTGTCATAAAACGGTAAGCGCGCAATGATAGGGCACGCATTCTGTTCAGGTGGTTTACAAGTGAAGCCGAAACGTGGCCTCCAGGTCTCTTGTGACTCAGCCTTGCGTGACTTAGTGAGAGCTACGCTAATATTTTTTATTAATCTAATGCCCTTCACTGACATGCAATAGCATCTTCTAGTACAATAGCGTCTGTCAGTTCAAAAATACAGTTGAATTGCAAAAGCAGGAAGATGATCACAGCCAGATGATTATTGAATCATAGGAAATAGCGCGGGAACCTGACAACTGCATGAGCGAACCATCGATTGCTCTCATAGATAAATAGCATCAGTATCTGGCAAATTATTGATTCATATGTGGGGTTTAACGTCCCAAAACCACCATATGATTATGAGAGACGCCGTAGTGGAGGGCTCCGGAAATTTCGACCACTTGGGGTTCTTTAACGTGCACCCAAATATGAGCACACGGGCCTACAACATTTCCGCATCCATGTGTGTAATGATCTGCTATTCTGCCTCGTGCTTCGGGTGTATGAATTTTGTTGTTTCCTTTCATTTTATTTCTTTGAAGACCCGCGAGGGGGTATTAATTAAGGGGTGGGTAATTATAAAGACAAAACATAGAAGCCAAAGATTTAACGTAGAAAGTGCTTATTCATATTTTCTATGAACGTTGATGGGCAGGGAATGGTTGCAATAGACGCGGGATCAAATCCCGGCTGTGGCGGCTGCATTTCCGATGGAGGCGGAAATGTTGTAGGCCCATGTACTCAGATTTGGGTGCACGTTAAAGAACCCCAGGTGGTCGAAGTTTCCGGAGCCCTCCACTACGGCGTCTCTCATAATCATATAGTGGTTTTGGGACGTTAAACCCCACAAATCAATCAATCAATGGTTGCAATATTACTGGGAAGGCCGTTCCAGTCTGGTGCGGTACGTGGAAAAAACGAGACAGAAAAAGTAGAAGTCCGGGAACGTGGCCGAGCAACTTGAAGCAAATGGCTCGTGCGGTGAGATATGCGTGTTGCGGGAACGATGTAAGGTGGGGCATGCAAGGGACTATGAAAAATTTTGTGGAACAATTGCAGGCTGACATTTTTTTGTTTGTTTGAAAAGCTGTTTCTCTTTGTAGAAATGATTGATTGATATGTGGGGTTTAACGTCCCAAAACCACCATATGATTATGAGAGACGCCGTAGTGGAGGGCTCCGGAAATTTCGACCACATGGGGCTCTTTAACGTGCACCCAAATCGGAGCACACGGGCCTACAACATTTCCGCCTCCATCGGAAATGCAGCCGCCGCAGCCGGGATTCGAACCCGCGACATGCGGGTTGTAGAAATGCTAACTATTCTTTCTTTTTTTGTTTTTAAATGAAACATACACGGAAACATACAAATGAAAACAACAAATGGAAACACAAGGCAACACCAGCGCTTCTTCGCATCCCCACATGATTTCCCTCAGGGGAAGATGGTGTAATTTTTTCCTTTTTTTCTTAGAGCTCCATGAGCTAAAATACGCAAACTATTTTTTATTGGTTGCCAACTCTCGCAATGAGTAGACCTCAGTGGCATGTCCATAGTCACTCTTGCATTGTCACTCCGTGCGAGAAATGTTACCGGAACAGCCCGCTCAGCGTAAGAGCAGTTGCTTCCAAGGTGCAACGCTGGCTGCGTTGTAGGGGCCAGTAAACCCACGCTCGGAGCTCGGGGTGAGTTCACCACGCAGACTCTCCTGCAGTTTCTGGAATAAAACGAAAGAAAAAAATTCTAGGCACTTACTGTCTTCAGGGAATATGCGAAAATGGGTGTCAGTACTTCAGCGAAAAACTTGCGTTGTATGTTTTTAGTTTTGGCGTATACTATAGTGAACCCCTTCATCTTGCGTACAGCGCTTAGCTCAGAATAACAAACCTCAATAAAGGGCTCGGTGTCACCATAGAGCCTGAAACTTCGCAAGAACAATTACCTGCACAAGTTTCAATGGTAAGCCAGCCCTCAGCTCTTTAATCACTAATCACCTATCAACACCATCATCATCATCACTGTCCCCTTCTTCTTCACCCCCTCCTCTGTATGAATACTGCTTCCATGAAAACTTCGCAAAAATACAAAGAATATAAATTGAACAAGCGCGCGTTTGGTTATAAAAGGCGGCATGTGTTTGTTAAAAGCTGCGTAGAAGACGAGGAGGAAGCTATCATTTCTGGGAACGGAGATCGGGGTGTGTTCCAATAAAGGAGGGGTCAGCGGGTGAATTCGCCATTGAGACGACGGCTTGTCCCTTTTTCCACGTTTTTGGTACCGAAACCCGGGAAAGGGCCTTCAGAGGTAAGGCGGAGCAGATTTCACGTATTCTCAAGCGCTTTTGGAACGTGAGGGACTTTTGTGAGAGAGAGAAGTAATAAAAAAAGAGACAGGGAGGTTTGTGAAGTCGTCGTAGGGTGAGGCCCGTGACCGAGATCGTAAAGAATGACAGCCCGACAACTGATGGATCTTTGTTGTGATAACCATCTGTGAAGAACACCGCGTTGACTCCGACTTCGACTCGAGATGCGGGCTGACAGTGATCTCTCACCTTTACTATAGTATAGCGGATCACAGAGGCGCTAATCTAAAGGCTGAATTCCAGTATGCAAGGCCCTCAGGCAGGTCATCGCAGACACCGAACGCCTTCGGCAATTGGATCGCCCACAAATATACGAGCTGCAGAATATTCAACGAATTTTGGCTGAACAGTGCATTTTTCTCAGCAGAATTGATAAGAAGATTGAAAACACAGTTGGCAAACACAGTTGGCAGAAGCAGATTTAGAGGAAACTTAAGTTTACGAGTCTTAGATTATTTTAGCGAGGGTTAGAGCAGAATATGAAATCGCGGAAGCCCAAAAGAGTCAACAGGCTCACTAAACACCAATAAGAGAACTTGTTAAAACGGTAGCAGACAGAAATGTACACTCTCAGTCAGGTTCCGGATAACGAACGGCACATAGGCGGCGCGCTCCTGCGTACTGACTAAAATTCTGTCTATAGGGAGCCCAGCAATCAAAAATACCCGTGACATCCACGTGGCGCGGAAGTCACGCATACAGCCGATAAGAGCAGGTGCAAGAGGGAGAGAAGTAAAAGTTTATTTTTGAAACAGTGCCCCGAGCAATGCCTGGTGTCACCCTGAAGTAGGAGGGCTCCTTAGTCCAGGAACCCTCTGGCTTTTACTGCCCTCTGAAGGAAAAAAAGAAAAAAAAGGAGAGAGCCGCCCTTGTCTGTCGCGCCAGCCTGGCGCCAGGAGTCGGAATCAACTTACGCAGAACCGTTCAGCCACAAGCGCGAGCGTGGAAAACAAAAAAGAAAATAAAGCCCCCCCCCCCCCCTTGCCATCGCTACCCCAGCTGGGCGTTCGGCCATGGCGCCACGTTCACCATCGCCTGCATGCCGTGGCATTTGTGCGTCGTCCTTTCGACCAGCTGTCTTGTGATGGTCGTTTTTCTACAAGATGGTTTGGGACGGAAACATTTTCCAGTGCTATATGACACGCTTTATTCAAGATATCATACATCCCTCTACATTTGGGCATGCACTGGGATGTGCAGTCGCATTGTTACTCTTTTGACTTCAATAAAAAAGTACAAACAACTTTCCGTTCACCAGTTGTCGAGGTATGACGCTGCGTCATGCACTAAATAAAAGAGTACTGGTGCACGTACGACAGCTTACTGAAACACTGGCCCATGTATGTTGATGCTCATGTTCTACGAAACAAGTTGAACTGATGATTTTAGAAAAGCATGTAAAAAAAAAAACCGAAGGCCACGAGACAGAAAAAGATCAAATTGAAAATCGATTGGTCGACGTTTGGTTAGTGGTTGCGTAACTTGATGAACATCAAGTACAGAAGACAGAAGTCAGGTGCAGAAGTCAGCAGGAGAGCCCCGCCGCGTTGGTCTAGTGGCTAAGGTTCCGGCTGCGGCGGCTGCGATTCCGATGGAGGCGGAAATGTTGTAGGCCCGTGTGCTCAGATTTGGTGCACGTTAACGTACCCCAGATGGTCAAAATTTCCGGAGCCCTTCACTACGGCGTCTCTCATAATCATATGGTGGTTTTAGGGCGTTAAACCCCACATATCAATCAATCAATCGAAGTCAGCAGGAGAGCGTATGTCACCGACATTTGCTCACTCTTTTGAATATCAAGTACAGTTTTCATATTCCAGCATGGATTTGTAACAGTGAACCGTGACCAAGATAAACAGTGTACTGCTGTGGAGATAATATACCAGCTATAAAAATCACCATTTTCTAAAGAGCAACTACTAGCAGTAACAATAAATATTTTGAGGTTCGTTCTGCACAATTTCTTGACCCCAACTGCACACCGACGTTCGAGAAAGAGATGTGCTGAGGCATTATTTATTTGAAGGGAGACCAACCTGCCCGTTGCTAATTTGTTTACGTCATACTTGACCTTGGCGCGCGTTTCGGCATTCACTTGAACAGCAGTGTGATGCTGAATAAAGGTAAGAGTAGCCACTCCCCGTAAATAAGAGTAGTTTTAAAGACTGAAAATCAGTAAAAAGCACTTTATATAGTGAAATAGTGCTAATAAATTCTAATTGCATATATAAGTAATCGTTAAATGATAAAAAGGTGCTGCTGCCCTAGCGTGCAGCTCACGGCAGTTCGCGCGTACGAAATGCAAATGTTAGAGAAGGCACGCTAACATACCCACGCAACGTTTACGTGCGAAAGCACAGTGTCTTCAAACTGTTGAGAATAGGCTGCTGTCACTGACACGCGTGTACCTCCCGACACAAATGAGCAAAATTTCTCACAGCACACGCATGTGCGGGAGACATACGCAGGTTTCGAGAGCCGAACACAGCCTCGTCCGCGAATTTTGGTGTGCGTAACACCCGTAGTTCGCGGGGAAGCACTAAAACGACACACAAACACACGTTATCCGTTCTTGCGGAAAGGCACACCATGAATCGAAGTCGGAGCCGAAAGCGCTATCCGTGGTTATCTCGAGTTGATGAATCCCTACGAACTATTCACTGATCAAATGGATGCACATGGCACAAAAACAGTTCAAGGTTCCGAAGATGGTTTGCAAGAATCCACTTGGTAGATATATACCTCCGCAAGAAGACTCGCCTTCATGCGGTGGCGCTGTGGTGCAATGGGTAAGACATGGGCTTCACGTGCATGGGGTCCCTTGTTAAATTCCAGGGCTGTGATATGCATGTCAATCTCGCAAATATGAGTAAGTGTGATACTAATGATTTTCTGATTACCCTAGGTCATTATATCCGCCGCATTTTCGGCGAGAAACCGCTCTCAGAAGTGTGAAATAATGCTTTCTTTCCGCCACCGCATCAGGGCAGGGCCGCCTACGGTATGTCACGCTTAACCGCAAGCCATATCTTGCGAGAAAAAAATTGACCTAAAAAGCCGGCTGATTTTTGTCCTGGCTATTTCAAAGGCCACTTCAAATCGGGCCGGTTTCTCTGGGACACGGCTGTGCAGCCGCGTAGAAGCGGCTATAATTTGACTTGATTTCCTGCCTGCGGGCGTGGAGTCTAGCCAGGATTCGACTTAGAGTGTTCTCTCTGCATCATTTTTATCGCTCTCTAGCCAGTGCACGCTGAACAGAAATCTTGTCACCCAGAATTTTTGTGAGTCGACCTCACGACGAATAGAGGAAAGCAGACAGACTAGCATTCTCACTGCACAAACACAATCTCGAAGATCAGCACCGAATAACAACCTCAGAGGCTAGAGACCCCTTCCACGACATTAGGTGTCTCATCAACCTGCTATACCCATCTCATCACCCATAATATTTGTGAGTCGACCTCACGACGAATAGAGGAAGGCAGACAGACTAGCATTCTCACTGCACAAATACAATCTCGAAGATCAGCACCGAATAACAACCTCAGAGGCTAGAGACCCCTTCTACGACATCAGGTGCCTCATCAACCTGCTATACCCATTTTGCCACCCAGAAGATTTGTGAGTCGACCTCACGACGAATAGAAGAAGGCAGACAGACTAGCATTCGCACTGCACAAATACAATCTCGAAGATCAGCACCGAATAACAACCTCAGAGGCTAGAGACCCTTTCCACGACATTAGGTGTCTCATCAACCAGCTATGCCCATCAAAGTAAGCACAAAACATCTGCAACAACTCCGCCGGCGTTCATGGTGGAAGGTATTTCTATGATCCAAAGGCGGGAAGACTTCGTAAATGCAAAAGTTATCCGCGAGGTACTAAGTATGCGTTCAAGCCAAAGTTGACCGACTCAGATGTTATGAAGTCGTCACCATCGTGCATGAATACGAGTGCCCGACCGAAGGAAATAAAAAGCACTCCATAAAGCACCGCCCCCCCCAAAAAAATAAACAAACAAAAGAAAAGGAGACGCCATGAGACACAGAAGCCTACCATCTGCATTGCTCATAGATATATCTTTTTGAGAAAGCTGCAAACGGAAAGGCTGAAGGCGATGTGCATGGTACATCTGATTTCAACGAAGAATGTCAAGACAGCATCTCAGCCGCGAATGAAACAGGCCAAACCACGGCAAAGTGAGTAGGCTGGTGCTTCTACGGTGAACAAAGTGAAGACAAGGAAATAGAGAAACCTCTTCAAAAAGGACTTCAGGAGAACATCATGTAAGAGCCGACATGACGGATGTTTATGGCAACGGAAACAGATCACCGAAACCACAAGTTCACCAAAAGTGACGCGTTCAAAAGCACGAGCATGGCACAGGCGTCGGAAGCACCGCTGGAAGAGCAGGCGCAGGAGGAAACCTAGATTGCCGCACATGAATTGACCTGGACCTAATCAAGTTATCATGAACAAAGCGTGCTTAGAACTCACATGTTATTCACCATCATGCGTCATTGGTGGAGGCGTGGTGGATATCGTAGAAGACGAGGAGGGAAATTTTCATCATCGGCAGTATCGAATCAGTATTCGAACAAAGAAGAGGTTGACGAGGGACTCATTCGGGGCAGGATGAGTAGTTTAAAAAATTTCAGCTACTGATTCTCGGCCATTCCTCCAGAGTGGGTACGTGCCACTGGTTCCGATGGACAAACAAACAAACAAACAAACAAACAAACAAACAAACAAACAAACAAACAAACAAACAAACAAACAAACAAGCTTCGCCATGGGACGGCGGCTTGTCCATTTCTTCACAATGTTCATCGCTAAAAACTTGCATTAATTGGCAATACATGCACGTATGTAATTGAATCCATCTGATTACACCTCACATAGCATTTGCTATTATCCAACACTGCTGATACTGTCTGCTGGTTGTTCTGCGATATTTTCTATTTGGAATTGAACCATATGGTTGCTCTTAGAAAAGCCATTTAATAGGAACAAAAGTGCGGTGTAGAAATAAAAAAAAACATTGCAGTTCACAGTTTACGTTATTCGATGTAAGATTACATATAAGTGGTTAGGATAATATTGTGAATACAAAGTATATAATGTTTTTAATTACGATGGTAAATGTTACGAAGACGTAAGAACAATAATTTCTATGTTGTACATACTGGTCATAAATGTGATGAGTCAAGTTCGCACGTGAAGTTAAAAAACTATTTTTTTTGTGACACATATTACCATAAATATTAAAGATTAAAATGTTATGAATACCAAAAAAAGCAGAAAATGTGACATTAAATTGAAAATACGAGAAGCAAGTTATCGATAGCGACGCGTCCGTGTCTACTGACAATAACCGGATTTGGTCAAGAATCAGTTATTCATTGCAGTTCATGAACAGCCCAGTGGATAGTCGAATGATGATTATGTACCTCCTTTTTCTCCTCAATCGTCCATTTGGTGTGGGCGATTACGAAGCTTAGCTTCGTTAGCGCCGCTTCTGGAGTCATGTCCGCACCTGGTATGACACCGGCTTTGAGCAGCTCCTGTAGGTAGTTGAATAAATTGAACATCTTAAAGCTCTAAAAGACATTACAAGCAGCTGCCTTACCGACCAACTTTTAAGCGACAGAGATGTGAAAAAGCCCAAATTTTCTTAATAAACGAGTAAAATTGAGACCTAGAGAAGTGCCTCTCTGCGTCCTTATTCCACAAAGTTTATTGTCCTAAAGTGTTTTTAGTCATTCACAGTCAGCCTTCGCTAATATACCTGGCATACAGTTAGGCAGACTTTCGTTTCACAAAGAGTACAGATTTGGATTGTGCATAACTCAAGAAAGATGAAATTGCAGAGTTAGGGAAGGGAGGACGCCAGGACAAGCACTCCCTTGAACGAACAATAACTGTATAAATACTTTTTGTGACAACAAACTTTGTCTTTGCTTTCGTCGACATAAATCTTCTTCGCACTGCCTAACAAATAGTGTGCTTCGCTGTAGATTAACCTGCTAGGGCCAAGTAAAGCTTTTTAAAGTACGTTCCAGAATGCTACCCGCGAGATATTACTCACACTGCCTGTCACGTAGGCGGGATCTACGTCTCCGTGAGGACATTGAGAACAGTTCACTATGAGGACGCCTCGCGCAGTGGCACGGCAAATGGCATCGATAATGTCCTTGCGGTTTGTGGGGGCGTTTCCAGAACCATAGGTTTGCAGCACGACGCCTTTCATCTTCTCGCCCAGGAAGGCCTCCACCTTGGTAGGGGCAGATTTGAGAACACCTATTACGACTTAGCCCACACTGCATATATTTGTGATGGGTTGGGGAACGTACCTCTGACTATCCCACTTTCGCCTACGAAGACATAATACCCCATCACTTACCAATTCAGCAGTGATGCTGGGAAACAGGCGCAGCATGCCCACTTCCCTGCTCAAAGTCGTGTGGGCATAAAATTTCCCTTCTACAGGTGTCAAGATGAGCTCCCAGCTTACTGAAAAAGAAGCTAACTTAGTGCTTCATCCGTGACTACAATCCATGCTATGAGGTAATAGGACACACCCAACCCCTTTGTTCCCCCCCCCCCCCGGCCAAAAAAAAAAGGTATTCCTGACAGTAAGTTGCGTTTTTTTTTTTGCCGTTGCGCAAGCGCTTTTCTTAAGTGTATCATGTAAACTTAGACAACAAATATGCGTGCAAACTAACGTTGTGCTTTTTCAAAGGTGTGTGTGCAGACTTCTCTGTGAGGACAAGCAATTCTTGTCACTCATTGCTATGTAATTCCTAAACGCATTCTTCTCCCCTCTCCCTTTCTCTTCATTTGACTACTACAATTTCAGCGGAATAAATGACACATATAATGTCTCATAGGCAGCTAGATCAAGCTTAAACCTTCCCGCAACGTACGCTGAAGCTTGAATAGCGTAAGCATTGTAAACTTACTTTCGATGTGGATGCCAATGGTAGCAAGCGGGGCCATATTGAATGAAGCGAATGCATCTAGATGCGATGAACTGAACTTGCTGACCCTGTTTCCACGAAACAGTTGGTTGCAGAACATCAACGTCACCTGCACGTTTAGAAGGAAACGATTTACTTGCTTACGGGGTAGAATGAATGAAAAAAACAATGACAACAATACAGAAATGTCTTCTATATAACTGTAGGTCCAGTCCAACTGCATTTCAGAATTAAATATTCCGATTTATAGAACACATGGAGATTCAGAAGTAATACAAAGTTTAGAAGACACCACATGACTTTTTTTACGTGTAAAGAGTGCACCAATTAGGTAAAAACCACCTAGAAAAAAGTCAGAAGACTAAATATAGATTATTGCTTATCAAAAAATAGACGGAAAACACTTAGCCTTATTTCCTTGTGACACAGTGTTGCATCGACGTGTAAAAGCTGGAAATAAAAGAGTAGGGTAACACGCCACATTTCAATTATGCTAAAATAGTTTTCACACATTCTAGTTGGCGCCACCAGTTAAATGGGGAGGATTTGTTCAAACATTAGAGCGACAAGTCATAAACCTCGCCATTAGTGCAAGGGATACCAATTTTGATGCACTTAATTCTGCGTACACAGTTCTGATAAAATAATCTGAAGATGAAGCATCCTTTAGCTCTAAACCGTATTTGTGCACTTACTTCTGGTATAACATGGTTCCCAGCTATTACCAGTGCGTCCAGCAAGTTATCTCTCCCGTCGCTGCGAGCTTCGTAAATCGGAATCTGCAGTGAAACAGGCTCATAATGAAGACACAAAAAATAACATATATATAATCCTCATTCTTGTGTCAAACGCAAGTATATAAAGCAAGACAATGTTGCGACAATTATTGAAGTTTTTAATGGTTCAGAATGCAGAGTAAGTAAATGTAAATAAAGTTCAGAAGTTACACACTGCTAAGTGATCAGCGGCAGAGGAATGCGCTGTATTCCTGTGATCGCCCACTGTAAAGGCAACGAAGCTACTGGTTCTGAGTACGCTTGGATGTTTATGTGGATACTTTGCGTGTCCCCACATTCCCGAAGTCAGGGATTTCTCATTACAGATTTTGTGCGTAAATTACTGCCCACTCTGCTTCTCAACGATGCTGCGGCTACTATCCAAATATTCAGATAAAACTTAAAAAGAAAGTCGTGTGAAAATGAATGTGCTGGTTCAAGTTTAGAGGTGTAATGAATACGTAGGATACTAGATCGTTAGTTTACTGAGAAAAAGGGCCAACTAAGTGAGAGGATAATGACGAAAATATTTGAACGAGTTCATTGAGAAAACAGCCTGTTTTCATGCCAGCAGCTGGGATCACTGCAACACCTGGTGGAACCAATCTCAATCACGCCCTCCTTTCTGCGTGGCCTCTGTGATCTGCTTCGGCAGTGCTACGAAACACACGGTTAACCAAGGGAGGAGAACTATCTGAGAGGTTGGCTCTTTTTCTGTAGTATAATAATATCACAGCATATCAACGGAGTGAATGATGATGAGTGAGGTGAAGCTTCCATCCGTCCATGCGTCCATGCGCCCAAGCGTTCGTCCGTGTATGCGTCGATTCGTCTGATCGCGTTCGAAAATGCAGAGGGCGTGCAGGTAACCCCAACGAGACGCGAGCCAAGGAGGCCAAGCGTAAGCATTTTCAACGCGCCCGTCGTTCTGCTGCGTTCATGCCCCACCAACGATCCGCCACCTACAGCAAACTATCCAGGAGACTGAGAGAGGCACTCGTTCTCCGCGTACCCAGGCACAGCCCGTGCAGCAGCCAACTGGAGAGTAGTGGTACAGCGCCATCTAGAATATTCTCACTCAACTGCAGCTCGTTGTATGAGACAGCAACTTCTATTATACTGTTCGGGAGATACTGCCTTCTTATCTTTTCCGTCTCTTCTTCTCTCGGTTATGTGTTACGCGTGACAAGGTTAGACTAAGAGGAGCTTTGCTTCTAAAACCATTGAAACTGACACACAATTAGGACAAGAGACGCACAGAACACAACATTTGTGTTTTCTTAACAGTAGTGTATTGTCTCTCGCTTTAACTGAAAATGAATAAAGTAAAGGAAATATCACCCTTTTCTTCAAGGGCATCGGAACCCACAACCTTCAAAAACGCTTTCGGTGGTTGACCATTTTCTCTACGGCAGATGTCGCTCAATCGTTCACTTTTTGTGCAGAGTATTCATGTCTGCTTTGCACCAGGGAGGGTTAGCCTGCGTCCCACTCGTATAGCTCAGGCGGCGAGTGTGAGACTCCTTTTTTTTTTGCCAGATGACAACGCCGGGAATTCATATTTGCACGTGGGGACAGCTGATTAAATTAAGTGAGAATCATTACACAACATTTAGGAAACCACAAATAATGTCTCCTATGCGTTCCTTTGCCTGATTGTATGTCAGTTTCATTAGTTGCCTATAATAAAGCTTAATGCCACGAATACACCAAGGTACACGGATGCTGAGGTGCGACTGGCAATATAAGACATCGAAGTCAATAACTATTGTTACCTGCATTTTTTACAACAATAAAGCGCAAACAGCAGTAACTGATACAAATTATCATGTAATGTTCAGCGGAGTTTCTGCTGTGGAATGCAGTATTTCTAAATCGTTAGCGTATGTACATATTGAGCCTTAGTGAAACGATTCTGTTTATTTGAACGCTGTTAGCGGAGAAAGTGAACAGTAAAAAATACTCCCAAAATACAAAGGCCCACTGAGTATAATTTGGCAGATATATCCAATATATCTAATATTTATTCAACATTAAATATATAGCTTAATATTTCGCTAAGGCTGGTCATCCTGACAAACTTCAGTTGCACACCAAATGCAACGCTATCAGCGCACGTTTCCGCCCAAGAGTCAGCATGATGAGTCTGATTTTTATATGATTACCTAATCCTATTTGAACGCTGCAGCGTGCTTGTTTGGGATAGTTGGTACTCCACTGAATTATTCAATAGCGTGAACTTCAGAGACGAGAGACAAGAGAATCCGATACACAATTACTAAACTTTTCATTGAAGCAAGAATGAAAAATATATAGATAGCTACGCACCTGCGGAGCTGAACAACCACAAAACCACGACACCCCAAAGCGATATGACTCAGCTCAACAGCAGTTAAGTAGAAAAAAATAATGAAAGGTATGAAACCACAAGAAACCACGAGGTGGTACACACACACAAAAAACGTCCCTTTTTTTACAGTGCAATGGAAGGCACGGTAATACGCACGCTATCATTATCGGTCAATTTTGCTTCTTCTACTATTTTCTACGTTTTTTGGTTGGCCTGAGTGAGAAGTATGGCCCATTTTTCTAATTCCGGCATACAACCACAGCTCGGCAGTACGGCAGTACATTTGTTTATTTTATGTTTTCTCTCTTTTCCCGTCTTTCGTTCTCCAATCCTCTTGCCCACGCAGAGTAGCGAGTCAGAGATCTGTATGAATGATGGATGGGTAAAATAACTTTATTATTGTCTAATGGGTCACGCTAGGGTCCCAACCCGAAGCGGGCCACTCCCACGTTCGGACCACATGACCTATTCACGCGCCCGTTGGACTGCCCATTATTGTCCAGGCTGAATTCTCTGGTTTTCAACAAATGGTTCTCTGTATCTTTTTTTCTTTATAAAAATACCAGCAGCTAGCCCCGCCGCGGGGTCTAGTGGCTAAGGTACTCGGCTGCTGACCCACAAGTCGCGGGATCAAGTCCTAGCTGCGGTGGCTGCATTTCCGATGGAGGCAAAAATGTTGTAGGCCCGTGTGCTTAGATTTGGGTGCACGTTAAAGAACCCCAGGTGGTAGAAATTTCCGGAGCCCTCCATTACGGCGTCTCTCATATTCATATGGTAGTTTTGGGACGTTAAACCCCCCATATCAATCAAATACCAGCAGCTACGCGTATGAAAGACAAGGTGTGGATTTATAAAATGTCGGTTTGCCTTTCCATACCTGGGATCCAGTGACGATAACCGATTTTCCCAGACACTCAAGAAGGAAAGAGAGGGCGGATGACGTATATGCCATTGTGTCCGTGCCGTGAAGGATGACGAAGCCGTCGTACAACTCGTAGTTTTTCTGCAGGAATAGACAAAGGAAAGTTACAAAGCAGGCATGTTAGCGGACAATAAAGCCTACCTACTCTTCATGGCCCATGTTAAGCTTGACAAATTTAGGCATACGGTTCGTTGGCATGACGCAATCCACGAATGACTTATAGAAAAGTATAAAGAAACACATAGAGAGTGCACCACTTTTCATTTATTTTACTATATTTGAAGGCATCGTACGACCAATATTGCATAATATTTATCGTTGTGCGTCATAAGCAACATTGTCGTCATCATATATTTAATGCAGTTTTATGTCAGCTACAGGTGAAGGGCATCTGAACATAAAATATTTGACTTACCTACCCTGTGTGAGCTGATAGCATTTTATCTCTGTGAACATCAACTATGCCTACATCTCTGCCGTCCTAGGCTGTGTGTTCCATTTCTCAGTAACCGTTCCGTTGATATAACTGCCCACCGGTTGTCGGTTCTACTCATTGTGTGAACGGCCAAGGTCCACATCTTTATTCTAATGTCAACTACAACATCCACCAGCCCAATTCGATACCGGACCCAGTCTACTGTTTTCCAATCTCTTAACGTTACAATGGCCATTTGTGCATATGCAGTAGCGAAATTCGGCAAGTCATCCAAAATAAAACTTTGAGAGTGATACTCAACGAGAATTTATGCTGAAATTCAGCCTAATTATTCTTCCTGCCTTAGTGACTTCCTATTTTCACTGTGAACTGTGCACAACCACCATTCTGTAGCCCTTTCACAGGATTCACAGCTGCACTCGATGCAGCGAGCACCCCAAATGAGCCAGAAGGTAGTACGGAACGGTGGATGAATGTCTCGACGTGCGCTTCTGCCAGGGTAAGAATAACATGCGATTGCACTTTAGAGCCAACTATTTTTTGCCTACGTTCGTAACTTGTTTTAGCCTACGTTAGTAACTCGTTTTCACACATAGACAACTGCCCTCTCACAGAGGAGAAAATTCTAAGATCTGCAGCGCGAGCGGCTATTTGAGGGCGCTGCCAAGGTATCTTTGACAAACCAGACTGAACGACACGTTACGACTTGTCTCGCACAATGCTTTTAGGCAGTGTCATTTAAAGTTGGTACAGACCGTCTCCTTCTCTTTCATTCTTTCGCTCCCCCATTTCCCTTCCCAATTACATGGTTGCCAGACAGTGTTCTTTTTAGTTGACCTTCCTGTCACTTCCCTGCCTTTATCTTTTTCTATTTCCAGTACGGTATTCGCCTTAGCATAAATAATTCATATATTCCATCTGCTAAAGGTGAGAATAGCTGTAAATGCGAACGCCGGTGTAAGAAGCAAAGCCTATATCTACAGTACACAAGGTCCTCTATTTTTTCTGAAGAAATATAGGTTATTTGACTAAAAATGCTATGGCGGATAGGTCCCTGTAGTCTTCGCAAATAAGTTCTACACTGCGGCCAAAAAATATCGCCGCACCAATACCTAAGCTCAAAGGGTAATTAACAAAAACTGGTTAATTACAATTTAATCATTGGCTTTAGGACTGTTGTTTATGTAGACGAGTTGTAGGACGAGACAATTTATGACATTCCCATTTTTTAGAAAGGGAAAAACGCACATTTTTTTTGATAACAATCAAGTAATACCCAGGGGCCTAAGCTAGCCAATACCTGAACTAAGCGCACCGGCTGTGCAGAACATCTGCCAGCTGTGTTACGCCAGACCGGAAACAAAGCTCACGTGACAAAGTAAAAAAAATAAGAAAGGCGTTTTGCAGCAGAGTACGTTAGGAGAAATGGCAAGCCATCCCAAGTAGGCTAATAGACCACTTATTTTTGTGTATAATATGTATAGCATCTGTTTCTTTCCCGGTGTACCCAACTGAACCGGAATCACCACTTTTTATTTTTTCCATGAGCAGCTTAAAACTAGACTGCAGCCACTGTGGGGCTACTTCTCGCTGACAAGCGAACGAGTCCATTGCACTTCTTTAGATTTAAACAAATAAATGCCTAAGCACTACACACAAAACGCTAAGACAGGCATTTCAAATGACTTGCTGCTTTTTCTTGCCATAATTTGTTGTGACGTGCCTGCTTCAAATTTCATCACATGAGCGTCCAGTCTGACGTAACATGGCCGACGGATTTCCTGCGCACACAGTACACCCAGTTTCGGTATCGCTAAAATCAGGTCATGAATTTCAATGCTTATGATCTTAAATTACGCATCTTCTTTGCAATGTACAATCTATCGAATATATTACCTCAATGTCACTGGCGATTTTCACCCAGTCATGGACCGTCACGTTGGAAGAGTCTATGAGCGGTCTGTACTCAGATATGCTGTAGACAACTCGCCGTTTATCGCCCGTCGGCCTGCAGGAGGAGCCCCGATGGGAGGAAGAGAGAACCATAAAACATTTTATCAATGATATCGTTTTCTCCATGCGTGCTAACTCATACACACAGAGGAAAGAACGAGAGCAAGAAAAAGCTGGGCAGAAAGTTCAAATGAGAAAAAGAAAACACACATGAACTCCCGATGTTGTCGTTACAATAGCCCCTGTAGGGGTTGTTGACGTTAACTCCGTCATGGCACTATTACTTATTTGAGAAGGCTGGCGGAAAGGCTGCGATTTTCGCAGCTATTCTTAGATGTAGCCAACACACGGCCCACCCAATTTTGTTCTTGCGAAAACAGCTGCTATACGAGCTTTTATTGCACACTGCTTGTAGGAACGCCTCTAATATATAGGTGCAGTCACACTCACGTCAGCACATTCCCTACCAATTTACTGCTCTCCTTCATTCAGCCCTGTCACCTATTTCCTAATCCTCTTACTCATTACATCAGCATATATAGACGCCGACCTAACACCTTCCTGGTTGATATGCCCTACCGTCTGCCCTTCTATATCCTGCCTTACTTCCGGACTCTAGTATACTTGGTTGGATTGAGTATACAGCGAAACTCACTTACGGCAAGACCAGTGGAGGATTCGCGCAATTGCCGAAATGGCTTTTCATATATTCCTCGTCATGTAGCTGCGGAAATTCACGTAACCGCTTGTCCAGGATACCCGGTGCTGGTGCAAGAGCTGCGAAGAATCAGTGATTGATTAAATATTATAGAGTTTAATGCTTAGAACAACGAAAAAACAATAAAAGAGAACATAGTAGAAGGCTTCACTTTATTTCAAACACGTTTCTCTAAAAACATTTTTAAGGGTGCTCGTGTTCGTATACAGTCTCCGTGGCGCATGTACTTGCAAGACTACACGGATGCATGCAGGTACAACATTACAAATAAACTTCAAGCGTACCTCCTTTCTCGTCCTTGACCATGCCAATGGTGCCGCCGGTGTAAATTACCAAGACGCAGGCCTGCTCCGGACGAGTACACAAACACATCAGGTCTTTGTCACCGGTCAATGAGAATAGAAACCTGGGGGCATACGAGGTGTCTGTCGCAGACTGCTTGGCCATCTGTACAGAAATCCGAAGGTATTGAGGTGTCTAGCTCATACGTATAATACTATTCGAGGGCCGTGTATCGGGCCATTAACAATTTAGACCCAGACCTTTGCTACATGAGCCTGTAATGTAGACGCATACAGTGAGATAGTACTGGGACAACTCTTGAGAAAGCAGTAGGAGCTCGCTGAGTATGTCAATCCCAATTTTATATAGAAGGCTTTCGCCAACACTAACTGCGAAAGGTGTTTGCAACCATGCAAAGTAGCCACCATCAGTGATCAAAAACATGCAAGACGTTTCGATATCGTGCACGGATATATAATTGTAATTCATAATTATGTGTTCAAAAGTTCAAATCAAAAGATATGAACACCAGGTCTCGTAACAGTCCTTGCCAGGCTCGTAGCCAGGAGGAGGGAAGGTGCCTCAGGGGTCCGCCCCTTTCTAGCCAGGAAAAAAAAAATCCTCGTTGCGGGTTCCGTCCTTGCATCAAGATATGTAGCGATTAAAATGGTATTATCGTATGTTTGCACGTACGTGCGCACACCCGGAAGCACTGAGCAGTTTCCTTAGTGAAACCTGACAATGACTCAAAATGACAGCGATAATACGTTACAGTTGCCCTGTCTTCACTTACCTTTCTTGTAGTCTGAATATTTTTTTTGTTCTTCGACTACACTGCAGAGGGTGTTGCTCCGAAGACACAAGGGAATTGCAACTATAGTATACGTGTTTTGCGAAAAACTATGGTCCAGTTTGAGAATTGATAGAAAAAATTCTACAGGTCAGGCGACGTTCGTGTGTGTAAACGCTGCCTTCGCTGATGAGCCGACTTCCTTTCTCAAGCCATCTGTGTGCCGGGCCTCCCTTGACGTGTGCTCGTACATATATCGCAAACAGCTGCCTGTACTTTCCCTATTGTCAAAGACTGAACGGCGCTCAAGAAGGCATTCATGACTTGGTTTATTGCACCGTAGTGGAAGCCGTGCAGTATATATGAAAGAGAGGAACAGAGGATACATGTCGTAAATTGGCACTATCTTTGATATAGTACTGAGTAGTCGTATAGTATCAGTCCCTGATATAGTACTTCGGAAACCCCCAAGAGGTGGCATTGCATTATTCGTTGCAGCGATGACTAATGCGCTACCAAAGACAGGTCAGTCGCCTACTAGTAGGACCAGTTCAGTTGCTTATCGCAACAATGAGACTTCACGAAATTTGTCACAAAAAAGATGAGAAGTCTTTGAAATAGGAATGTTAAAGAAAAGAAATATAACGAGGAACTTTGCATCAAAAGGTGTCATAAGGCTAGCAGGCACGAGCAAGACAGACAGGGTGGTGAGCGTTGACTGAACGTTTATTCGCGAAAACAACAGTATAAGTAGATTCGTAAAATGAAAAGGCAAAATAAACATGCATGAACAAATGCACGATGTTTAGATGAATCGGTCTCGTCTTCAAAATTGCCTTACGTTGTCTTCTTTATTATTCAAGCAAATTATGTCAGCCAGTCATCAAAATTTGGTAATGACCACCAATAATTGGTATAAAAATTGGGATGAAAGTTGGACCTCACCACAGGCATGTCCGGTTGACATCCAATTTATATATCTAATTGATACTATACAGAAACGCACAATATACTGTACAATTTATAGTGTACAAAAACTGTAATGAAAAAGAAAATAGAACAACCATACGTGAAAATGGCCTCGGAGGGCGACCTGAATGCACGGAAACTCGTTGAATTGTCTCGTAAATTTCTCTCGGCCTTTTTTGTGTCGACAAAACGGGACTGTATGTTATTGTATCGCTCTGACTCTGTAGACTCATGCCAAAAATAGACACATAAACAGAAAATACTCCTCAAAGAAGTCACACAGCATCAACAAAACTTCATGCCTACGAGGAAGACAAGTTATTCTCTTTTTAACTTCACCGAAAAAAAAACGTATGTCTTATGAAAGAAAACTGTTTTAGTACTAGTAAAAACGAAATGTTTTCGAACATAATGGGGTCGGACTAATAAGAAAGCATGTGGTTGGACTAATAAGGAAGCATGTGATTGGACTAATAAGGAAGCAGAAAATTGAATCCAAGATTACCATAACGTGACCAGTCAGATAGACCTCTTTTTCTTTTTTTTTTGTACCTTAGCAACTGGTGGCGACTGATGTCAGTTTTTTTTTTTTGCAACTGGTGTCAGCTTTGATGGCCCTTCTTTGGCACAGAAGTGTCTAGAAGTGACGCTGAGGCTGGCAGTATGGTATGATATGGTATGGTATGTTATGGTATGGTAAACTTTATTCAGGTCTCGAAGACCAACGCTTAGGTTGACGCAGCGCTTGATCTCATATGTTATGTAGGATGTAGGACAGGGATTCATAGGTCGCGAGATACAACGTGCACGCACAACATCACAGCGCTGAATTTCTCATGATGCAGCAGAGGGGTTCGGAGAGTTAACCCCTTACAGAGCCGCCAAAAAATAACAAGACTAAAATTTCTTTATCAGCTTTGGAACCATAAACTTGCACTCGACCCCGCTCCTTATCTAAACCTTTTGTCCCATAGACCCACCAGCAACTTTCACACTTGTAAATTTAACTCAATTTTTGCACGCACAAACAATTTCAAACATTCCTTTTTCCCACGCACCATAAGTGATTGGAATGCCTTACCATCTTATACCTTCTTATCAAACATTGTTCCTCAGCTGTTCAACCAGCTCATATAATAAATTTGTAACGGTGCCTTTATCCTGTGATTGGTTTTTTTATATCTAGTTGTGTAATAATCTGAGCTACGCTACTGTTTTTGATTATTGCTGCCTTGCTTCGCTGTTTCTGGTCATCACCTTCCTATGTGCCATATGTCTGAAATATGCACTGATTAGTGCTCTCCTGTTCTCTGGTGTATTCTTTGATTGGTAATTACTTAGTTCTTCTTGCTTTCAATTTGTATTTCTTTTTCCCCCTCTTTTTTATCTTGTTTACAGCTGGTTTCTCATCATTGTTATACCAACAAACCACTCCTGCTTGGGCCGCCCAAGCCCTGCAGTATTGTATGAATTAAAATAAAAATAAAAGTAAATATAAAGTAAAAATGCTTCTGGGCGACAAAAAAAGGAGGAAGGTGCATTTTAATATATTCGAAAAAAAAAACGGCATTGTTAAGAAAACGTTGGGAGAAGCACTTCACGCAATGACGCCTTTACATTTACCAATTTCCCGCCTTTTGAAGTGATAGAATGCATTTTGCATGACGCGTGTTCTGTGAATGGATAATATAGCTTTTTTACCCTCATTATTGTTCAAGCAACTGCTGTAGGTGAAATAGATCGGCAACAGTGACAGGAATGAAATGTCGCGGGAGTAATAAAGATGGCCTTAACGTAAAGTACCTAGAGTGATACTGGCTGCAATTCCCACCGATTGCGGTCCCTCGAAACAGGAAGAATGAACGTGATTTGTCATATTCGCATTATCAGTAGAAGAACATGCACAAGAAAACGTTCGACGTTCTTTAGGAGATCAATGTGTAGATGTTTATTGAGGCATGCTTGATATCAGAGACAGGACGTTCATGGCATGACTCAAGTCAATACGAAGATTGGACGCTCTGTAAAGGGGCAGGCAGGTAGATTAACGACTTTATTGATTCGTGAAAGAATCATGGAACAGTAGTGCATGGGGGGGGGGGGGGGGTTGGAAGCTGGCCAAGGAACAACCTCTAAAAAATGACGAGTCCATCCCGTAAATGTGTTTGATTACACGAATGAAACAAAAATTTTACTATGAATATTTCATTTCTTCCTACTCTTAGTTCCGAATCCATTTTCCAAATCGATTATTTAAACAACTTCATATGCAGATGTTTACTACCACGTGGATTATACTTGTATCTTACGTTCACTCTGATAATCCTCTTGAACGTTTAGCGTTTTCATTCATTCGATGTTTCATTTTTAATCTAACTTAGCAGTTTTCCTTTTCCTTCGCAGGTCTTCCCTTTAAATATGGAGCCACCCGGGTCTAGTTGCGTCCTCCTTCGTAGGTGAATGCCATCGGGCCAAGGTTATCGACTTATCGTCATGATTATCATGGTAATCACCATCATCGAAACGACAGCGAACGGTATTCGCACGAGAGAACGTGTTTGCTGCACGTGAAATTAGAAGAAGAAGCGCACCATGGTGAAGCGGATCCCGACGCCCAAGGGCGACGAGTCGACATTGATCATCGACGTCAACCCTTGGCACAGGATACCACTGGTTTTCATCAACTTGTTCCTCTTCGCCTTCAGCTGCATGGTTGCCTTCATATGTGTGAGTATCGAGCTGCACTTGGAACGGCGTCGCGTACGAACAGTCTCCACAGATGCTTAGCTGCCGGTTATCCTTCTGTAAGACATAACGCTATCGTGTTATACGCCATTGGCGCAGTTACGTGATTGCTGTAAAGTTTATTAGGAAAGTAAACGTGAATTTTCGGGAGCAACGAGAAAAGTCGGAGTGCTTCCACTGTTGCGAAGATGGACGCCGTCGAATCTGTGCTGCGATGGGTCTGCTATCGCGAGTGCATATAGTGGATTTGCATACTGTTGAGGAAAGCACGAGCCGCCATGCCCATGACGAAGCCCACCCGTTGACCTCTACTTTATTGCGAATGCACTGCTCTAAATCCCCGATGATAATGTCGCTCCTCGTCCTCTACACAATAGCAACATCCTCCACGCCCCCCAAGTGGGGCCTCATGAAGAACGATATCACAGTTGCTGTAAACACTAACCACACAATGTTCGTCGCCAATAGTTTTAGGTCCAAGTCAATCCACGTGAAACAATCCGGGTTTGCTCTTGCACTTGGTTTTCCAATAGTGCTTCCTACGCTTGTTCCATATACGTGCCTTCGAACGCGTCGCCTTCGGTGAACTTGCGCTCTCGATAATCAGGTTTCGCTTGCAGAAACACGGTTTGTTCTGCGAGCTTCTGGTGTAACTTATTTTGAGAAGTTTTGGATTTGAATTTCTTGCCTTGGCTGTGTTCACCTCGGAAGCACCATTCTTCTTCCTCCATACCGGACTTGATTGCTTCATTCGCCGTTTTGGCCCTGTCACAATATACTTAATCGGTAAAGAGTACGGTTCGCATTGTTTTCCCTCTTGATGTTTGTAGCTTATTCGTAGAGCCCATAGGACTAATACTGGCAGCAGGCACCTCTGCCCTCGCAGTTTTTGTCTTGCTTCTTTTCGCTTGAATCCGTCTTGCTTTGCTTCTGTCAGACATTTCTACGCGTGGCTGTGAGGACTGTGCAACATCTGAATCTGCTGGCCTTGGCTTGCACCCATTCTTGATATCTCTTGAATGCCCGTTCAGAACTTCAAAGGCTTCCCGCTTTTCATCAGTAGAACTTTGTCCCTCCACCATATGCACTTGAGTTGTTGTAACTGTCGTGTCTTTTGCTTTATTCATAGTGTACGCTGACGGGAGTTTTAACGGCGTGGGCCAGTTCTTTAGAAGTAGTGGTTCAGTGCGTGCTTGAATTCTCGTTACAGTGGTGAAATCGGTGACTTTTCGGCCTCCAGCGCGTTCAATAATTCGTCGTGAGTCTGAGTCTTCTAACTTCCGTAGAAGATTGCTGCTCAAGAAGCAGAAGCAAGATGCTGGCACCACATACGAAGAGTACACGTTAGCTTGTACTTCTGTCCTAATCATTGGCCCCATGGCCTCCAAGCGAGCTTGTCGAGCATTTAATACGTTCACGATCCTAAATTTCACTCTGACCTTGGGTAGAATGATCTGGTGTTCGTAAAGCTCTGCTTCGCCCGTCTCAGTTTCCAAGCAATTGATTTGAACTGCATCTTTTACTTACTTGTAGATTTCTTTAAGAAGCTTGTAATGCTCAATCAAAATTTGATGAATATATCATAACTCACTGACGGACGCTCCACTTTTATTAGACGCTCAATGTTGGAGATGGCTTCTGTGACGGCCTTGCGCACTTCAATCCGCCTTGCGCATAGGGCCTTCATCATCCAGTCCAGTGTTGGAAACGTGTAAAATCACTGGCTGGTCACGCCACTAGGTGAAGTCGCAGTCAACGTGGTGTCTGTCACAAACGCTTTGCAGCATGAAGTCTCAAGCAATGTCGAGGTGTCTTGCTTCTTGATCTGGTTCTCGGGAATGGTTTGGGTTCGCACACCAGCTTCAACCAACGGTGGCTTCACAAAAGTCCTCGAGGCTATGACTGAGGTCGATATTCGTGAAGTCCACTCCATATCACCTCCGAAGATCTTTCCTCAAGGGTTTCAAGGCGCCAAATTGTTGAGGAAAGGACGAGCCGCCATGCCCATGGTGAAGCCCACTCGATAACCTCTTCTTCATTCCGAATTCCTGCTAATCCCCGATGAAGATAATGTTGCTCCTCGTCCTCTACACAATTTGCCACACATACCATCATTATTGACTTCGTTTAGGCGAATAGACATACTCTCGAATGACCAGGTGTTTCTCTTTCTCATTAAGTATATTATCTCATAAACGCCGAGTGATGGTGGTCTCAAAATGAAATCCTTTATTACAGTACCCAGTTGTTTCAAGAGGACAGAAATGGCTTAAAGTTCGCTTCCTATGCAAGCGGTGTTGTTTTCAGGGCAAATGTTTTCACTGCATTGTTACACGTGGGTGATTATATTACATCGTCATGTTTACTTACACGCCATGTTTATTTTAAGTGTGCAAAAATGCTGCATTAAAATAATTTTCGGTGAGTAGATCCCCTCGACTAAAGTCGAGGGGATCGACTCACCGGAAATCGCTTTTCTACGTGTTCTTTTTCAACGGACGCGTTCTGCCAGCACCTAGTCATATATATCATTGCTGTAACACTTTAAGATGAGCTTTCACGTTTAATAAAGAGTGTAACGTTTTTTTTTTTCGTCCATAGGTGACGTCCATATACGATCGGCGCGAGCAGATCTCGTTCGCCAACCGGTCGCTGCTCATCAGTTTCGTGGTGAACATGGAAATCTCGGTGCTGTTCATCTCCGCTCTCGTGCTTGCCATCACCTTCTTGGGATTCGTCGGTGCTCTGCGCGAGAACATACGCTTCCTTGCCTGGTACATCAAGGGAATCTGTCTGCTGACGATCATCACCGTGATTTTCATCTTCGGTGCCTTGATCATCCCCTTCCTCAGCAAGAACGTGAGTACTAGAAACTCAAATACTCAGTAACTGTTAGGTGGTAAATTCAATCTGTGTTCTTCATCGAACATGTTACTACGTGGAAGAAATTTCCGTCGCACCAATACAGCTGTAATGTGTTTTTGCCCTGTAACTCGGCTATAGTTGAAGTGTAGATATGTCTTATCTTGTCGCCTAGAAGATATGTGCATGTTCTCTTCTTTTTTCTTTGTTTTTTTCCCTCCTTTAGAAGTTTTTAATTTCGCAGTCATATTTCACTGCATTATACATCATCATCATCATCATCATCATCATCATCATCATCATCATCATAATGATCAGAGACATCATGATCAGAGACATAATAGCATGGGCAGCGGGGAAATTATGTTTTTTAAAACATTTGGATTGTTATGGTATTCGTCCCTTCAGTAACTAAAGTTATGCGTCTGTATTTCTTGTTCTATTTCTGTTATTTATGATGATTATTTTCCGTTCTTGTGATGGCGCCTCGATGAACCATTTCCGCCGCAAGTTAGGAGCATAAAGGAACGGGATCAAGCGTATCAATGCGAATCGCCACATCACTTCAAGGCAAAACTGAAACTAATAAGTGCCCCATAAAAGAGACGATGCGCTGCTAATACTGCGTTTGTGAATTATGTGCTGCTGGCAAGTTAAGGCACTCGAAAAATCACTAGCTCAGTCGAGGCTTTCGATGTGTCACCGAAGCTGGACCTGTATCTTCTTTTTTTCCAACAACAGAGTGCCCAGAGTTTGTTCAGCATCGACCTCATCATAAGCTACCGGGACAACCCAGACTACGCGCGGCTCGTCGATTACGCTCAGGTAAGATGCCACAAGGACTCGCAGCGTATGGCGGAATCAATGAAAGTATTAGCGTTCTAGCATTCGCCCACGCCACAGTTTTTACTGAACATAATGTGCAGTGTCTTGTTATTTGGACAAGGCAATCAATTGGTATCACCATTCAGCAGACTTCGTCACCGCCATTAGCCTTGTACGTCTAACATTGGGGTCTGTTGTCTTGAGAATCCTTATCTTTCAGTCTGCTGCGGTATGTCAATCTAGTGGTTTCGTTCAGAATACCAGCACCTAGTAGACTGGTGACTCAATATATTGCTGTCATGACTTCCTTACACCCTGCTTTTTCATTGGGCCGTTCACTTTCAAAATCTCGAAGATGCAGGAACCAGGTCAATATATGAATAACGTGTGTAGCAATTTTTGTAAGGAAAGCCTGCCGCCTGCTTAACAAGTGCTTTTCCTTTGAGTTTAAGCTTAAGGTGTGAAGTCTCTTTCTTTGCTTTCACACAACAAAACGAGCGAGCGAAGAAACAAACGAAGCGAAAGCAATGTGCAGATCTAGGCCTTCTGGTGGCGCAGGCATCGTTCAGCTGCTGCGGCATCACAACCGAACGATACCACGACTGGGGTCACAACATCTACTTCAACTGCTCGCCGTCGAATCCGAGCACGGAGCGTTGTTCGGTCCCCGCCTCCTGCTGTCGTCCGCTGGAAGGTGAGACCCCGAACCTGGAGACGCGACTGAAGCGCCGCTTCTGTGGCTCCGGAGTGCTGGCCATCTCTGAACAGGAAGCCTGGCAAAAGGTGACTATGCAAGGAGTTTACACGCATGACTGTCATCCGGCTCGCACTCCCCCACGTCCCTTGCCCCTTAAGAGCACATACTTGACAAACTCAACCTTGAACATTGTTACGAAGGCGGCTGACCAGTCGTAAAGAAAGGTTATCAAATATGCACTCTACAGTTTTCATAAGATCTAAATTTATTAAGGATTAAGTAAGTAGTACCAGAAATGGACAAGTTAGAAAACATGGCCGATTTCTTCGTCATATCAATCGATACAACACAAAAGTAGTTTACTCGACATTGATTAAGACAGCTTGCATAATGTCTATCGGAGTTTAGCTGCTATAACATCATTTAACGTGTATGCACCCATGTTGACGCTCGGTGATGCATCTCTATTCCGACAGCTAAGATCCATGATGAATGAATAAATAAACCCTTTTGTTCAAACAGTATGGCCATCTACAGCTTCAGTAGTTAATAGTGAGAGCGGATTCGGAGAAAGCCGTGTGGTATACAGATGAGTGTCCCTAACCGGACGCCGAATTTGGGCAAAAGTCGTCTACTCGCTGCATGTTACATTATTGAACGTTACTGCACGACTAAGGTAAATGCAACGCGCGTCGGGTCATCCCTGTTGGCCGGCCACAATTTTTCACGGGGTGAGCGTATCTGGTGAACGCGGAGTTACAGCCAGGGCAAGCAGGCGCTCGTGGCAGACCTATTTTGGCTATGTATAGATGCTATGAGCAAGGCTGAAGCTTGGGCAAAGGTTGCCACCAGGCGGTAATTTACCGCGTTGACTAATTGCGCTTTTTCTATTCGAAACACGCCGAATGGGACAGACGCGTATATAGAAACGAAGTTTTGACGGAACAAGTTGCGGATGTAATGCATTACTGTAAGTTGCGGATGTAATGCATTACGGATGTAATGCATGTAATGCATAATGCATTACTTGAAGATCCTTCTGAGGGGGCAGTCGTAGACATAAACAACGCATTTTTATAGCATATAGTCACAGATCTAGAGGTCGTGGGTTCACCTCCCATTGACGGAACTTTTTGTTTCTGATCGTGTGTATTTTTTGACGTCATTTCTGACGGAAATGCGTTACTTAAGTCTTGATGGTCCCCGGCATGAAACACAGGTGTTAAAGAGTCAGGAAACACCTGCAGTGGAACAATATCGTAATTCTGCAAATCGCTTGTTACCAAGCACCGAAAGAGTAGAATATATTTCATACGAGTACGTTATACTGACAACTGTCGCAAAACACGTGCTCCTTTAGAGGGTTCTAGAAATTTAATACTGATAAATTAATGAGGTACCTCAGAGTTGTGCATGTGTTTCGATTTTGTGCGCTTTAAGTTTTGCTAGAAGCGTAGTCTGCAGAATTGTGCTGTTCGTCTTTCCTGCTCTGTCGGAGTTGAAATTCTTCACACACAAGCTCCACCTTCAATGTTGCAGTTTTTCCCGAATTAGACAGTGTAAACTCGACGGCCGAATTAAGAAAAATTTACCCTATAGAGCCTCTATATTTAGCCTTTGCTTCTAAATTCCGAAATTTCGCGGAAACGAGTGTAGTGGTTGCTGAGAAGTTAAATTGATTTCAGTGTCCCGTCTATTGAAGGGGAAAGCCCGTAGATGAAACAGACTAACTAAAGTTGCATTGAACGCTCTTGCGCTCGTTTCCACAAAAATGTTTTACGAGAGAAACTTTCAGGAGAGAATATTTCAGCCAATCGCGATGAGGTACCACTCATTTGTGAAGCTGGCTTACAAATGAAAAAAAAAATGTAGTAAGAAAAACGATGTTTTTTAAGTAAGGACCCTTAGATAAAAAATAATAAAACTTGTCTTTCATAGGTGCAGTTGCCTATTCGTCAGCAGGCTTCGACGAGCATCGTGATTGGCTGAATTTTTTTCCCGACTAACGTACAAAGCGGAAGACGCGCCATTGCGATTGCCGCCCCTCGTTTCTCGTATGGTCGCAGATCTACACGCGCAGTTGCGTAGACGCCTGCGTGGCGTTCATGCGCGCCAACTCGCTGATCACCATCGGCGTCGGTTTCGTCGCCTTCTCGGTGCTCAGCGTGCTGCGCGGCATGGCGAACACCGTGCACGACGAGGTGGTTTCGCTGACGCGGCTCTACGACAAATACTACCGCCGGGTGGCGCACGGCGCACGCAAGTCCCTGGCGCAGAGGGAGGCGCTGGCGCAGGTACGCGCCGCCAGAGACCATCTCGTCAAGCGACACGCGCAGCACGGGTGAGTGGCATAAACCTGACATGGTCAGTATTTAAAAAAGGGAGTTTCTTTTTTTTTTAGCAAAAGAAGGTTCATGGTTCCTTACGCATTTGCCTAAGACGACTCAAAGGCGAAAGCCGTCTTCTGCTTCTTCTCAGTTGATTGTATGGTCCCGCCTACTTCTCTCTAAATTGCTGTCTCCACCAAATGTGGTTTAGCGTGGCCTCCGGGATGGTAGGCAGTACAAGCTTCCCGCACACCTCGTGGTACTGGATTGCCTCCGAGATCAGCCAAGATTTTACTACGCGAGAACTGTCATGTGAAAGGAAGTCACAGTAGGTTACGTGACGTCATAACAAAGTCAGTATAACATTGCGCACTTGGTGACCATCGGTGCACTATGACGACGTCATGACCTGGCACATTTTTTCCATTACTTGTGCCGATGCCTACGACGATGATTAATTTTCGTGTTTGAACGGAGAATTCATCGACGTTGGGCCAGTTGGTGTTGCATTCTAGTTATCCTCCATGTTTCAATTGCACTGAAAGAAAGGCTGCCTTACTACACGCATATTCGACGAGTGTTAAGTTGGAGTTGCTTTTCTATTATACTACCTGATTGCAATAAGGACCCTGTTCTCGGTCATGTGGTAATGCGCTATTTGTTCAATTCATACAAAGACCAGAGCAAACATTCACACTCTGATCACTTCGATACCACAGCAATGCTTTTTTTTTTCACGTGAACTTATGAGAACTTTGTTCATAATGTGTTATAGGCACCTCTGTCCTAGCTTGACACGCATCGCTGGTTTCAGTATTGAAGCAATCGTATATTTCTGAACGCTAAAAAAAAGAGAACACTGCGCAAACGTTTCATTTCTGAGAATTGTTACATTTACGAAGCAGCAGTTCTTTGAGAAAAACGGCAATGACGACGACGACGCTGACAACAACAACAAGAACAAGAACAACAACAACAACAACAACAACAACAACAACAACAACAACAACAACAACAACATTGTTAAAACATGTCCTGCAAGTGTCGTCACATGTGCCCCCTCGAGAAAGGACAGTATACTTTGATTCTTAGCGTGATGAATTGTTCAATGGCTTACGGTAACGGGTCACGCCATCAATAGCATTGCGCGTGCACTGATTCTGATGCTTTACAATGATCTTGCTCTCTTCAAACACGTTAGTGCACACACCGGTGAGAATATGATTGACTAGAGAATGTTCATGTCCATAGTTGAGCGCACGTTCTCTTTGCATGGGTGGTCAGTCAAACGTCCTCATGTTAGACCCATGTCACAGTTGCTATAATATAGTGGTATCTTCTGCTGAACATTGTTGGTGTATTCAACTTACTATACCTAATGTTAGATGGTGCATTTCATTGATTGATATGTGGGGTTTAACGTCCCAAAACTACCATATGATCATGAGAGACGCCGTAGTGAAGAACTCCAGAAATTTCGACAACCTGGGGATCCTTAACGTGCACCCAAATCTGAGCACATGGGCCTACAGCATTTTCGCCTCCATCGAAGATGCAGCCGCCGCATCTGGGCTTCGATCCCGCGACCGGCGGGTCAGCAGCCGAGTACCCTAGCCACTAGACCAACGCAGTGGGGCGACCGTGCGTTTGTGTTTGTGTTTGTTTTTTTTTGGAAAAAAATGCTGATGTAGGTATGATACGATGGCTCCATGGGCCAGGCTATTATTATATTTTCATCTGTAAATGATCAGCAAGTTCAAAGTACAGAACAACTATATATTCAGCAAGAGGGCAAAAACCTAAAAAATAATGGAGACTATGCGAAAAAAGACATTCTCTTGCTGCTTGACTGACCATTCCTGCGGCTCGTTGCAGCAGCGAAGTGATTAAATTCTGACAGCGTGTAGACCAACTTTTTTGTGCTTGATGATGGCTCGAAAATGGCCGTAACTTGAGCACATGCTATCAGACCCGTCGGCATGCTTGGCCATTTTTTAAAAACAAAAATTAAGCCTGAAAGTAAGCCGGTCCCACCAAAAGTGTACAGCGGTGACAGTGATTGACTGTGTATATCATCCATAAGTAAGCGTTCAGGCGACACTATCAATGTTGGACAGCTCTTAGAGCGTCTGTAAAAACATCATCAATGAAAAATTTGTCGCGAGGGGTAACGTTAACGTAGCTCTGCATTTTTTTTTCAGCATAAATTTCATGCGGGTTCAACTCGATTGCTTATCAACTGTTGTGCAGGCGCAAGTATTCTGTCAGCCGGATGATGCGGAGAGCAAGTTGGCGTCCATCTCCGGCCTACGACCACATGTTCGGCCGTCGAGATTCGCAGTACTACGGCGCCCTTCCACGGCCTAAGCCCAGCGCTTGAATTGGTCTATAATCGACCCGTGTTTTCGATGTAATACAGGATGTCGAATAAAATTCATTTCGTTCAACTAATTAGTGGGATGAGTACCAAGTGACGCTCTTCTTTTTATTCCAAGGACTTGCATTCCAGCACTTCCAGTTTCCCGAATATTCACAAAAAAAGTTTTGTAGAGAATAGAAAACGATTGTTCTGATTGAAACTAGGAAAGTTTCTTGGATAAAAATGATATCTGAGTATAACTTTATGTGAGCGTTTTCTCCAATGAAACTAATACTACTGCTATTTCTTGAGAATTATTCCCAGCACGATCGATGCTACCATCGTATTTTTTTTCTTGAGGACCTGAGAGTCCCAAATCAGCAGCGGAAGCTTGGCGGAAGTCATTGGTGACGCTGAGGCGGGCCAGCTGAGGTGGGTAAGCGCTGCTTTTGAGATGAAGTCCCGTAGTTGTTCCAAGCACTTCCACCCTGTCAAATACGACGTTGGTTCAGATTTTGTGTACTCTAGTCGGCTTAGATTACCCAAAATGGCGCCTTTACAAGTCCGTAAATTCCGACACTAATGAATAGACATTTTTATGGCCTTTAGAGGTCGTAATTATTAGGTAAAACACACAGATAGTATCCAACCAAATTAAAAAAAAATATGACAGCATATTCACAGGGTGAATGATGACGAGTGGGTGAAGCTCCGGAGAGAATCATCGGTAAAACCGTGAATCTTCCGTGTGTAGTTTGCCCAGTCGATCATCGTGTAAAGACATCATGAGGAACACCGAATGTGTACATATATAAAGCAACTTTTATTTGTTCTTAGAGACGATTGATGGCTTGGGATGTCTCTTCATTATGAAGGCTTTATGGTCCGTGAAATGAAGGTTGAGCGGTTCCTGTATAGGTTGCAGTGAAAAATTTGACAGATGGACTTCACGACAAGGTGCTGCGCTGTGTTGAGTGCTTGGTCTTTGCTTTGACTTTCCAGGCTTCATTTCGTGAGTGATTTGAGTAGAAGCTTGATAGTGTGTGCGTTAAGGGGTCACCTATTTTTGAGTTAGAGGTACCACCCAATTAAGTGTGATATGCAGGACCAAAGTACAACGGCATTCATGGAGGTGAAGACACAGCTAAAAGATAGTCTTTTGTATATTTGCGAAGACCTGGGTATTCAGGTTAGGGAAGGAATGGGCAGGTCACAAGTTTTAGAGCTAATTTTGCAAAACACCATAACTTGTTGCATAATTTCTATCGTTGCATAAATGCAGCCAGTACTAATGCGGCTCCTAAACCCGCGGATCCCAGGTCCGCAAGAGAAAAAAATACAATAAAGGTGTCGATTGTAGTGAGAATACTTCGCACGTTACAACTTCGCCAGCCCAGCAGCGGAATTCTAACTTGCAAAATGTGCTAATTCTCACCAATTTACGCATCAGTGCAGTTGTGCTATATATTTTTTGATGCGTGCATCATTAACTTCTTTGAGCCACCAGTTTGCCAATGAAAATCAACAGACAGTGAAAGTCAATCTGGACGATGGTGCAAACAAATTATCATTCCGCGCAGAAAACTTGCGTATCAAACTTCTAAAAGCATTGTTTATGTATGCCAATTGTGCGGCACTGCTGAGTTTAACACTACTTTTGTTCCTGAGAGATACGTGAGCCTAGCTTTTGCATAGAACCATCGCTGCCCAAGGGAACAATTAACATGGGCAAAGTGCTAAACTATTGTGAGATAGTGATGGGAAAGGAAGTACCTAGTTAGATATGTTAACCGAGATGGTCATTTTATGATGGAGTTTGCTGATGAAGGCATACGAAGTGAAATTCGCAGTGTAGGGTTTGGTTGCAATTAGGTCAAGTCATTGGCAAACAAATCTGTGTATATATATATATATATATATATATATATATATATATATATATGTTTGTTTGCCTCAAATCTGGCGTATAAGCCGTCTTAGGTAAAAAAAAAAAGGAACGCGGACTCACGTATAATGTGACGAGTGTACCCCTCGGAGGAGCAGAAAAAAGAAACAGAGAAATGTCGACCAACTTCGTTTTTTAATACACCAACATGGTGTATGTTTTGAACATCATGGTGTATGTTTTGAAAGGCATGTTTTGAACATCAGCCCTCGTGAGGCGTACTCTGTCAGGCGTGATCTCGGAAAAGCCGCTTTTGATAATCTTCTAGAACATATTTTAAATATGTATAATAGGATCGAGGGGATGCGCTTCTCTATTTATATTTTCTTGAATCTGTCACTTTACGCATGTAACCACTAACTTGAGCACGCCATGCCAAAACTTCGAACATTCAATTTAGTTCAGATTGTTCTGATAAGCTTCAGCGGGCATGGGTAATAGTATAGCGTATTTAAATACTAACGCCACATCAACTAAAAGGCTTGAGTCTTCGATGCCACATGTATAAATGCCGATGTGCTTATTACTAGTCAGATTACAGAAGGCCGGTGGCTGGGATAGCCGCCATGCACGGTATCGCATGCATTGCTTGTAGGGTGTTTTTTATCTTTCCTCAGCAAATATTGGTCGGAAGAGTTCCATTTTCGACAGCGAGACTGCTTCCTTATTCACTGTCGCGAGCGTGTGTCAGTGTAAAAGAAGTGTTTGTTCAGTAAAGACATTTGCTCCACGGCTTATAAATTGTGTCTCAGACAGGATACATTTTTCGTGACATCGTAAATTTTATGCCCTTTTTTATAATATAATATAAACTAGGCGGTTTAGTAAAAGTGCGTAGTTCTTGGTGGCATCGTGTACACCGTCAAGGGCATGTAATCAGTCCGATTGTAACAGAAGAAGTGTCTGGGTGCGATGGTAATCACAAACATCCTTGTAGGGTAAATCTCGAGATATTGATGGATACGTCTGATATGTAAGCCTCTAGCTTGAGAATAAAAACTAACGAACTAGACTGACATAAATTGATACAGCCACGCACTTATGCACACCCACTTGGTAAACAAAAATATCGCTCACTGCAAGGAAGAATTGACCACTTAAAACGTGACTGGACCGCTGATTTTATAGGCCTGCCATACGAATAACGACTGGACAGTAGCAATTGATGAGTAGTGCAGTCCATCGTTTTCGAAATCAAAGAAATTTCCTCCAGAGTTCGCAGCCTGTGCTATAAAAATCGTTCACAATTCCGTAGTTGCCTGGCTGAAGCCACACGAAGCTAGGATTGTCCAGTGAAAATTGAGGCCAGTTCTCGAAGGAGGGAAGGCTGGGTGTCCTGGAAAATTCAAGAGAAAGAACGTGCAAGCTATAGAGGAAGTTCACCGTAAACGTGAGGTACTTTTCGTGAGCTCACAGTATATCGGACTAGTTCATGCTATAGTTAGTGAAAACCTAAGAATCCAGTAACACTGCACCTGCAGAGTGGGATGTACTTCACCTGTGGCGAAGGCCACGCTATCTGATGTACGTTGCTATGCTAATACAAATGCTACGTTTATTGAAACTCCAAAATCAAGATGGGAGTCGACAGATAAAAACACACTATGAGATAAGCACAACGAACACCGATGGGGCCTCAAACATAGGCTGGCCGACGCTTAGATAGGATAACCTATGTTTCTCAAATGTGCCTTGCCACCCTTGGCGCGTTAGGTTTTAGCAGGTTTAGAGTTGAAGTCCTACATGACGCTCTTCCTCGGTTCCTTCTGCTTGTATCACCACGTTTATAGAGAGGTAGGTAATTGTGGGCTCCATGAAACTGGTATGAGAATCTCTTATGACGTTTGTCGCGATGCTGGACATTCAACTTAAATTCTATGTCGCAAAATTATCGGAACACTTTCAATCATACTCAAGCAAAAACAGAAGGAGGTGATGACAACCCAAGTGCCTCGCACCATGTTACCCTTACGCTGTTGTTGCTCGTGGATGACTGACAGTGAAAAAAAAATTCGCTGAAAATGTATTGCGCTTTGGCATGCCTCTATTACGGCAGGTGCAACTGATGACGGGTATATTACGACGACTTGCATGTAAGGACGTTTATTTCGCAGATCCAGGAGTAAGTAAGTAAATAGGTATTTCCCAAATTCAGGAGTAAGTAAGCGCTATAGATTCGTTGAAGAAGCGCACACCCATAAGCAATTATGATTATCAGCTTAGCAGATAATTGTCACTGACTGCCGCACAGATGCGGATGAACTGCACAATAGACGCCTACAATATATCTATTCTATCGTACACTGCTATCCCAGTCCAATACGTTACTGGCCGCACCAGCCGGACTGGTCATGATTTTTTTACAGTAGACAATATCTCTGTACGGCAGGAGTACCTTTCTGTAATAGCTCGGCCAAAAGAAAGAACAGCACTCTCAAAGTCGCTTAGGAAGGAAGAGGAGAAAGAAAACGCTGTCAATTAAGTATGTTTTGCGCTTAGGGAGCACTCGGACTTGGACTCACGTAAGTTATAGTCAACCGGGCTTACTCAGACTCAAGCTCAACAAATCGTTTTCTCGACCCGGTTCTCTTGGCCTCGCATTCCTCAATAAATTGAACAAGGATGTCTTTTTGGGCCAGTTGGTATTCTATTGCAGGATTGTTTGGGTGTAGCGCTGCGTACAAAACCAAAATGGAGGCTGATAGGAAAGAGGCGCACTCGGAACTAAGCTTTATTTTGCGTTAATTGCACATATAAAGCCGAGAAACCACGTGTCAACGATAATGCTATCACATATTCGAACAAGATAAAACCAAGTGAAACCGCGTACCGTGCTAATCATGGAAATAGTCTACTTCGCAAGAAAACAACTCAACAGACGGCTTACTGATACATCTGCTGCCCAACTTTCTGATGACGTATACGCCTCAAGTATTTCCCACTCTCGTTTCCTTCTCAAGTTCAGGTGCGCGTCAGGCCACTGCGCATGTGAACTTGAGAAGACGCGGGTACTAAAAAGGTACACGCCAGGGAAATAACACACTATTCTTTTCTGTCCATCTCGCCTAGTTGTGTTTACAAATGCTTGTTGCCGACCACATGGCTTGCGAAAAATTCACCAGTCATGACCAACTTCATGCAGGAAAAAAAGAAGGTAAATATTGCGAAAATGTAAATGTCACAGAACCATCTCATATCTGTGACAACATTGCACAAACTGTTGAATTTTACTCGTGTTGCGTCAGGGAAATTGACGGCCTACGTTTAGTAAGCTTACATTGAAATTTACCCTAAATATGAGGTCTGCTGCCCCACCGTTAATGCATGACAGTCCTTGTAGCGCTATTTCCCTAAATTAGTTGGCTGCCGCATTTTCTTCTGATGCAATGAAACCTAGAATTATGTATTTACCTCACATGTGACACTGCACGATAAAAAGCTAACTGGTGCTTATGGTAACCAGTGAAACTCAAGCGTTTCTCTCCCGACTGCATAGCGGACCATTCGGCTCAGGTTGAGGCAAGCACGAAACCAAGAGAAAAAAATGCACTTACCCTTCTCTAACAAACTTTGCGAGGCTCCTCATTACCTCCAGACTGAAATTTCTGTCTTCATCGGTGTAGCTGTCCACATCCAGAAAAGGAATTCCAAAAGTGTATGGTACGTCATCCATGTGAGTGACACCTACCCATTCGGGAGTGGTAGCTATTTTAGATCTGTGCGCGAAGACCTGCCCGTAAACCGTAGCGCCCACATTTGAGTGACTCTCAGCGAATAACCTGCTCGGGCAGTAAGCGTTGTGCTTTCCAAAAAAGTCGCATGCTGCCTCCCTCTGTGCCAACTTGTACGGCGGCGCACGATCCAAGTAGGCAACGCCCAGTGGAACAATTTTATCCTTCGTCCAAGAATTGAGCAAGTCTTCGCACGCAGCTCGCATGTACTCAGTGCTGATGTCTTTTAGGTCTGGATCAAGTAGCCTGTTGTCAGTCTGGTAGACAAAGGGAAATGTTCCTTCATTAGACACGACGCTAACGAGAGCATCGACGGGCGCAAAGGCTCCTGCTGCACTGGTATCGGAGGTCAGCGAAGGCAGAAATTCACTCTTGAAAGTAGGCATGAAGAACAAAAACTTTGGTACCATGGCCGCTGCTGTGGCTCTAATCAGAGGCCATGCATCTACCTTCCGGAGACAGTCTAGGACGCGTTGAGTGTGGGTTGTGAGATCCTGGAAGGAGTCCGCACAGCCGACGATCCTCGCAACCTCGTTTCCTTTGATGATGCTTTCGGTGACCGAGTCGGACAGTGTATCGGTGCATAGTGTGCCGCTCATCAAGAATACACGCCTGAATAAGCCCCTGCTGAGCGGAGATAACACATGGGCATGTACCATAATGGATCCTGAGCTGACGCCAGAGAGAGTGACGGTCTCGGGATCTCCTCCGAATACGGCGATGTTGCTGCGAACCCACTCTAGCACAAGTCGTTGGTCCCATAGGGCCAGGTTACCCGGTCCTTCCACAGTACCGCTGTCGAGGAAGCCGAAGATCGATGGACGAAAGTCGAAACTAACGACAACGATGTCGTTAATGGCCGAGAGTACCGTAGCATTGTACATCTCCTGGTACGCTGAACCGGCGATGTAGATGCCACCGAACAGCCACACAAAAACGGGCCTCTTGCCACCATCGGTTGTTGAAGGGGTCCACACGTTTAGGTACAAACAGTCCTCTGATAGAGGCACAGGTATAGGTAACATGACTTGCATCCGTGGCTGGATGCAGGAGGTTTTCGGATGGGTCGCGTCATACACGCCACTCCAGGGTGCCTTAGGCTGAGGTTTTCGAAATCTGAGATGGTCCACGGGCGGGTTTGCGTATGGTATTCCGATGAACATTTGAATGGGGTAGCCGAGTATTGTACTAGAACGGCCCCGTAATTGTCCTTGAGGTATTGTGACAACTACATCACTCGGTGCTGCTGTCCGTATCACCAGGACCAGGAGTAAAACATGGAACGCTCTCCATATCTTCATATCTTGCTGCACTCCCTGTGATCAACGAGAACTTTACGTGAGGTTGCAGTTATTTTTGTATGTTACGAAAATATTGTGACTGACATATTGGCGACAATATAGACAGTTCATGAAGCCTCTCCTCACCACACATTGTGCCTTAGCACCTGAATTGACTTTAATCCCGTCTTTATAAATGGCCCGTACAAACCCAAGTCCCCGCAAACTTAAGTGCCCATGGCAATTATGGATCAGAACAGGAGCGACGAGAGGCTGTTCTACACAGCTCGCAACCAGATCTAGAGCTTCTGACAGTGAGCTAAAACATAGGGGACACTGGCGCACAAAAGTGTCTGGCTATCTAAAGCGAGCTGAAGGCCCATCGTCGTCCTGCTTCCTTTTGTACTTTTCATCACCCCCATAATTCTTTCGTGAATCAATAGAGTTGCGTACCTATACTCTATCTCACAAGCTGGTTGTACCACTATAAGGGCTCGGAAGATTTCAACCAATCATGAAGGCGAGTTTGTCCACGTTGTAATAATCCACGCACACTTTCAGCTGTGGCGTTATCGGTTTAAGTGCCCAAACTGCGAGATCTTTCTCATCTCAGTGAACCGAAGTTCGAATCCGGTCGGGTGAACAGAATTTTTTATATTATTTCTCGAGGTTAACCTTTTGGTGCTGCTTCATGTTAAATGCACGACACCAAGTGGTCAAGAAATGTGTTTTTTCATTTGTGTGCTCTAAAGATATCCTCTACATAGATTGCTCCTCGCGGAATACGATAGAAACATCTGAAGGTCGCCTGTTTCTACAGACTATTTCTTAGTTTTGAAGCAAAGCTGTTAACGCCTCGGAATTTCATTGTGATGACGTATGCCAGAATGCGCAATCCTATGAAGCATGCGTTGTGACATAATTTTTGAATGTATGTACCTTCCAAGCACCCTTGAAGCCGAGGTCTAAAACTTTGACCTTCCCATATTCTGTGACGCTTGACTGCTCAGACACCCAAATCAATGTGCGGATCTTAATCGCAGGCGTTTTTGCGAGTAATTATCATTTACAGGTACGCAAAAAACGTGATGCCACCACTGATTTTTCCCGGACCTGGACAAAGTTAGCGTGAAACGGAAGGAGCCAATTTCTCGGCATGCGCCTTTTGTTGTACCAGCAGGTTTGTTTCACATGCATCGTCATTATGCTGCCACGCAACGCGGCAGCACACAACACAAGACCGGGTTGATTGGCGGATCATGGACTAAGCCCTGCAGTGGGCGTAGTCAGGCAGATGATGACCTGGCTATCGTAGCCCCTAAAAATATTTCAAATGAATATTCAAAATTTAGAAGGTATAGTAAATGCACATGACATTTTCACAAATAGGGTTTAGTTTTATGCGTGCGAAATAGTTTTAATGTGGAAAAGGAAGTAGTGTCAATCATTTTTTGTTGAGCTCTTGATTGATTTGTGAGGTTTAACGTCCCAAAACCACCATATGACTATGAGAGACGCTGTAGTGGAGGGCTCCGGAAATTTCAACCACCTGGGGTTCTTTAACGTGCACCCAAATCTGAGTACATGGGCCTACACCATTCCCGCCTCCATCGGTTTCGTTGAGCTCTTACGGCAGTGAATACTTCACTAGTCTTGCATAAGTATGAGTAAAAAGATGACGGGTTCTGATTTCCTCTGTTTTGTCAACGTGCCCTAAGTTGTTTGTTTAAGTGACATTTTATTGGGCGACGTAAAGGAATAAGAAATGATGAAGTACTCTATACATTTATTTACGAATAAACGCCACAAACGTGCCTCTATTCCTTCCAGAATGGGCCTGAAACATTTGTAGACTAGAAAATGTATGCATAAAAAGAAAACTTAGTCATATTACTATAGATAAACGTTCTTCTCTAAATTCCGGCGTGCACACAGTGGTCGGGAAAACGGAAGACGAAAGGCGACAGTTCCCCACAAAAACTTTTTCACTCCTCAAGAACTTTACCGTGTGAAATGTAGCAAGAAGAATAGCTGGTCCGCTGCACGAATTTGACGACGTCAGACTGCACGATTCATGATCTCCTGTTAAGCACCGATGCTCTTGATATGCAGGCACACAAGCGAATTCAGCAAGCGTATTGAGAAAATTACTACATCCGGTGAAGCAGATCCTGTTTTGAACTCTTTTCAATGCATTTCCAAGCCCTACTTGCTCGATTTCAAATCTCAGTGGCTGATTTGTGGCTCTCACTGACAATTATATTGTGTAATAACGTGCTGCGATCATCATCATCAGCCTGACTACGTCCACTGCAGGACAAAGACCTCTCCCATATTCCGGCAGTCAACTCGGTCCTGTGCTTGCTGCTGCCAGTTTATACCCGCAAACTTCTTAATGTCATCTGCCCACCTAATCAATCTACTGTCTCCCCCTAACCCGCTTGCCTTCTCTAGGAATCCAGTTAGTTACCCTTAATGATCAGCGGTTATCCTGTCTACGTGCTACATGCCTGGCCCATGTCCATTTCCTCTTCTTGATTTCAACTATGATATCCTTAACCCCCGTTTGGTCCCAACTCCACTAGGCTCTTTTCTTGTCTTTTAAGGTTACAACTACCATTTTCCTTTCCATTGCTCGCTGCGTCATCTTTAATTTAAGCTGAACCCTCTTTGTAAGTCTCCAGGTTTCTGCTCCGTTGCTAAGTACCGGCAAGATGCAGCTGTTATATACCTTCCTTTTGAGGGATAGCGGCAATCTACCTGTCATGATTTGAGAGTGCCTGCCAAATGTGCTCCAACCCATTCCTATTCTTCTAGTTACTCGAGTCTTGTAGTTCCGCTTCGTGGTTATTACCTGTCCTAAGGAGACATAGTCTTTTACAACTTCAAGTGCACTATTAACTCTCGAAGCACTGTTCTCTTCCGAGGTTGTTGTACATTGCTTTCGTTTTCTGCATATCGCCCCGCCGCGGTGGTCTAGTGGCTAAGGTACTCGGCTGCTGACCTGCAGGTCGCGGGTTCCATTCCCGGCTGCGGCGGCTGCATTTCCGATGGAGGCGGAAATGTTGTAGGCCCGTGTACTCAGATTTGGGTGCACGTTAAAGAACCCCAGGTGGTCAAAATTTCCGGAGCCCTCCACTACGGCGTCTCTCATAATCAAATGGTGGTTTTGGGACGTTAAACCCCACAAATCAATCAAATCAATCAATCGTTTTCTGCATATCGATTTTAAGACCTACTTTTCTACTCTCCTCGTCTAACTCCGTAATCATGAGTTGCAATTCGTCCCCGAGTTGCAATGCGATGTCATCGGCGAAGAGCAGATTACTGAGGTACTCTCCATTAACTCTTATACCTAACTGTTCCCCTTCTAAGCCTCTGAAAACCTTCTGTAAGCACGCAGTAAATAGCAGCGATACGTAGTAGCAAATATGGGATTAACCTCACGTGCACACGCGAAAGATAATGTGCATGGTTTAAGCATTATCGAATCCCTGAGGATAGTATATGCAGACCAAGATAAAACTAACAAGACTCATGCAAACGAATTACCAAATTTCCTGGCATAGCAATTTTTTGAAGGAATGAATACATGTTATTAAAACAAGGAGACCTTCAAATAGTGTGTACAACATCAGCAAAAAAAAAAAGAAACATTAACACAGTTCCTTTAACATGCTCTGATTATGCCACCGGCTGAACCAACGAAGGATGCGGAAACCATTATTCGCAATCAGTGTGCTCCCTAAACAACAACAACAACAAAAAACACGCAAAAATGTCTAGAAAATAGGTTGGAGAGCTTTTAGAAAATAAACTTTATGTAAAAAATGGACTAGAAAACAACGAATGAAAAGTTTTAAGACAGCGGAAAAAATTCTCTGTTTGAACACCTAGATCGCCCACACTAATGACAGAATAAAAAAAAATTGGTTGTGATGGCTGCATGTGTGAACAGAGTTTTTTTTTTTTTTACAGCTTTGACAAAAAATATTTTGTCTCTACGTTGACTGCCAAATTACATAAGTGAAATTTGGTGCCCCTGAAGCTTTCTACCTGTGATGATCACAACGTACCCGCAGAAACCTATCGCGGTGTTCTAGTGGGTAGGTGAAAAAAATATGATAATCAATCGCGTCCTGACCAAATCACCTGACCGACCCACCTGCCCTTTTAGAGTCCTGACCAGGCCTACCTGCCCTTTCAGCAAACACCAAATTTTGTAATGAATTCGTCTATGTATAAAATGTGTATCCAAGAAAAAAAAGTACAGCAGAACATACTGATGTCCATACGGTAATTGGGCAATGCCACTGAGTAAAACAAAACAAAACAAAAAATCATTCCACGCCTTTTCACGTAGTTAGTCGTGATAAGTGGACAAAACTCTGGGTATCGTATTGGTGAGCGACCGTCTTTTACTCGAGCGTTGCCCCATATAACTTAAATTGAGTGACACAAAGTGTATATAGGAAAGAAACCTACACCTAAAGGCTCGTTTTCCTCGTTAGGAACAATATTATTGAGATCTAACAGATCTGTTAATACATCTATTTTACAAAGTGTATATAGCAAATTTATTTCGCCTTGCGTTCGCCTTAGGCTATCCAAGAAGGATTTAGAAAGTTTCTGGATTGGCGGATATGCCCCGAAAGTGAATCCAAACACCGTCTGTCTTACCGGTGTCAAGATACCATTTTAATATGGGTAATTTGTTGAACACTAGTGCTCAACGTGGGCATTTGTGTTACAGGTTTCCGGGAGAAGCCTCAACATCCAGGAACACTTAAATAGAAATCGCGGAGTAGCGCGAAGTAGACGCGGGCAAGAAAGCACGCAGGAACAGCACTGACTGCCATCTGATTGGTTAGCGCAGCTCCTGTGCGCATTCTTATCTGCATCTACTTCACTCTGTGTTTACTATAGGGGGAATTCCAAAACACCAGCTACGCTGCAATTTCGGGCTCGCGTGTTCTCGGGAGCCTCGAATACCGATTGGAAGTGTTCGCTGTCCATGCTCAAAACGAGCTGCAGGGCCGCTTTGAAACATCCAGCGAATTCTATTCGTCGAGATGCACATCACTGTTGATCCCAGCAGACTTAAATACTTGATGTCTTTTCTTTCATTTATTCAGTGTAAAGCAAGTCTTCTCCGTGTTGGAGTAGTGGTTGTGATGCACAACTTCTTACCAAAAGTTCGCGGGATCGATATCCGGCCGCCGCAGTCGCATTTCAATGGCGGCAAAAGGCAAGAGGTCCACGAACTGTGTGTTGTCAGTGCACGTTAAAGAATAGAAGAGGACAGAAATTTCCGGAGCCCTCCACTACGATGTCTCTCAATCTTATACGATGTTTGTGCTTGGAGACAAAAGCTGAGATAATAATAGTCCATTTGCAGAGCGAGAAGCGCCTCTGTGACGCACCTATACACCAACATTTGGTTAACTCTTTTCTCGCTTCTGGCCGCTGATGTATCTCTGAACTATGCCTCACGCTGCCTGGCCATTCTTACTTGCAGTGTCCTCGAAGGTGCACTCTGCGATAAGCTCCCGCAGCAGCGGTGCTTCTGGAGCCAATCGGGGAGGCCATGCTCTCTCCCCTTCAATAAATTTCCTCACAGTATATAAATACATTGTTGAAAACACTTGGTAAAAATATTTCTTTACCTCAAAGCTGGCACGCAAGTCCCATTAGACAATAGAAGGATCGCAGACTCGCTTAGAGATATTCCGGCAAATTCACCTCTCAGAGGACCAACGGTGTTTTTACCGCACTAACATCCGGTGAAAGGCACGCTCTGAAAAGCAGCCGATGTGATGGGTAGCTCTCGTGTGGTCTCGGAAGAGCAGCATTAAGTGAAATAAACTTGCAGAAGATACTCGTTATCTGGCGAAGGCCCATATAAAAAAAAGTGGTCGTTTAGCATGCATCCACGTATGTGGCATCTCGTTCCATACCCTATGCCTTGCGTCACAGATACGATACAACATTATTATTATTATTATTATTATTATTATTATTATTATTATTATTATTATTATTATTATTATTATTATTATTATTATTCCGCAGTATCAGCCTGACTGCACCCACTCTCGGGCCAAAACCTCCGCCAGCCAAGCAGCCCTGTGCTCGCCACGGCCCCGCTGCACCCACAATATTATTGCTCTCACCTACCTGCCAAACGTTCTGTCTCCTCCTTGCGCTTTTGCCTTCTCTTTGAATCCAGTCTGTAACTCTTAGCGAACAGAAATTATTTTGCCGACGTGCTACATGCCCTGCCCATGCCATTTTGTTCTTCTTGATTTCGACTACACTTGTCATTAACACCCGTTGCTCCTTGAACCATTTTCTATTGTCTTGTTTTTTACACATGCCATGTCGCTTTCGATCAATTTAAGTTGATTCCTTTTTTTAAGGCGCAACCTACTGCTCCGTAGGTAAGTACCCGTAAGGTGCATCTGTTACATACCTTCCTTTTGAGACATAATGCTAGACTACCAATCATGATTTGAGAGTGCCAGCCGGATTTATTCTACCTATTCTTATTTTTCTGGCTACCTCACGGTTCAGCTCTGCGGTAGCTACCTGTCCTAAGCTGACGTATTCCTCTAGCATTTCCAATGCCTCACTTCCAATCGCAAAGCGCTGTTCTCTTTCCAGACTTGTGGGCATCGCTTTAGTTTTTTCGCATATTACTTTTTAGACACATCAATCTGCTTTCCTTGTCCATTGCAGTAATCAAGAGTAGCGATTCATCCTCTCGCCCCCTCAGCGGACAAGCAGGTTACTTTTTAAAAAAATTGTATTCCCTAAATAAAAAATATCTTTATATTCAATCTGTGAGCCTTAAACAAAACTGAAAACAACAACAACAAAAAAGAATAGATTCAATGAAATTTAATACAGGCACTCCTCCTTACACGCTATTTCTGCACCCTAAGATATATGCTCACCGCGAGGAAGCAGTCAGTACATAAACCCTGACTTTGGCACAGACTTCAGAAGACTGACGGCCATACGAATAGCGATTGAGCAGCAGTCAATAATAAGTGGTGCTGTGCAAGCTTTCCACAGTCAAAGAAATCTCCTCCATAGTTCACAGCCTGCGCTGTAAAAATCATTTACGATTCCGTAGTTTCCGGGCTGAAGCCACACAAAGCTGGGATTGTCCAGCGAAAACCGAGGCCACTTCTCGAAGGAAGGCAGGCCGGGTGTCCTGGAAAGCAAAAACAAAAACGTGAAAAGCTGTAGAGCTGGTTTGCCGTAAATGTGAGATTCTTCTCGTAAGAGCAGATGAAGCTGTGCTATACTCAGTGCTAACATAAACATCCAGTGCACTCTGCACACACCCTCCCGAAAAAAAAATAGGAAAAAAACGAAAAAAGAACGGACAGAACAATGAACCACAGCTTTAAATCTCCATGAAAGAGCTTCTCCAGCTGTGTTAATGCAAGTGCGAGGCTTGCTAGAATGTACACACCTCTTGGCCTTATAAAACCGATATTAAGACCTCTTGTAACCTTAGCCACGACGCTACAGATTCAGCCTAGGGCCAGTGGCGCAAGCATAACAGAACACTGTATAGCCCGCCCATGAGGGCACGATAACACGGTGTGCTTGTGCTAACATCACATCTTTTAGCCCTTGAATGTAGGCACTTGACGTTGTTCTGCTATTCAAAACCAACCAGCAAGTAAGAAATCACTTTCGGACCCAACGATATTTCTAGATGGTAAGATTGAACATCTTATACAGAAAAGTGCACTCCCCTTCAAGAAGATCATCGAACGTTGTTAGATCCTTTATTTCAATGAGGCGCCTCGTTTCGATCACATGACTCATCGCGCAATAGATAAACTAACTACTCGACATGATCTACTCGTAAAATCGAACGTTTCTCTCACGAAAGCATTACGTGGCCTCGGTACACGATGACGCAAGTGGCTAACAAAGCAAAAAGAAAGCACACTCACCCGTTTCTAACGAAATTTGTGAGGCTCCTCATTACGACCAGACTGAAATTTCTGTCTTCATCGGTGTAGCTGTCCACATCGAGAAAAGGAACTCCGAAAATGTATGGTACGTCATCCATGTGAGTAACTCCGACCCATTCTGGGGTGGTAGCCATTTTGGACCGGTGCGCAAACACCTGCCCGTATACCTTAGCACCCACGCTTGAGTGACTTTCAGCAAAGAACCTGCTCGGGCAGTAAGCGTTCTGCTTTCCAAAGAAGTCGCATGCTGCCTCCCTCATTGCAAGCTTGTCATCCGGCGGCACACGATCCAGGTAGCCAACGCCCAGCGGAACAACCTTATCCTTCTCCCACATATTGATCAATTCCTCGCTCATAGCTCGAAAGTACCCAGCGCTGACGTCCTTTAGGTCTGGATCAAGCAGCCTGTAGTCAGTCTGATAGGTGAAGGGAAACGTTCCTTCATTAGAGACGACGCTAACGAGAGCATCGACGGGCGCGAAGGCACCTGCTGCACTAGCGTCGGATGTCAGCAACGGCAGGTATTCACTCTTGAAAGTGGGCATGAAAAACAAAAACTTGGGTAACATGGTCGCCACTGTCGCTACCACGAGAGACCACGCCTCTACCTCCCGGAGACAGTCTAAGACGCGTTCAGTGTGCGTAGTAAGGTCCTGGAAAGAGTCCGCACAGCCGACGATCCTTCCTACCTGATTTCCTTTCACGATGCTTTCTGTCACTGAGTCAGACGTCGTATCGGTGCACATTGTGCCGCTCACCAAGAAGATGCGCTTGAATAAGCCGCTACTCAACGGGGACAGCACGTGGGCGTGGGCCATCATGGAGCCTGAGCTGACGCCGGAGAGAGTGACGGTCTCAGGGTCTCCTCCGAATGCGGCGATGTTGCTGCGCACCCACTGGAGAACCATTCGTTGGTCCCATAGGCCAAGATTGCCGGGTCCTTCTGGAGTGCCGGTGTCGAGGAAGCCGAAAATCGATGGACGATAGTCGAAATTTACGACAACGAGGTCGTTGATGGCCGACAACACCGTGGCGTTGTACATGTCCTGGTAGGCCGAACCAAGGATGTAGATGCCGCCGAACAACCGTACGAAGACGGGTCTCTTGCCACCGTCGGTCGTCGAAGGAGTCCACACGTTTAGGTATAGGCAGTCCTCCGAAACTGGCACAGGTATGGGGAACATGTTTGGTAATCGTGGCTGGCTGCAGGAAGTCTTCGGGTAAGTGGCGTCGTAGACACCGCTCCAGGGTTCTTTGGGCTCAGGTTTTCGGAATCTCATATGGCCAACAGGTGGGTTTGCGTAGGGTACTCCGATAAACATTTGAATGGCGTGGCCCAGTATTGTACTAGAGCGACCCCGTATTTGTCCTTGAGGTATGGTGACAATCACATCACTCCATGCTGCTGCCGATATCACTAGGGCCACGAGTGAAACAGCGACCTCTCTCCATATGTTCATATTTCAGTGCGCTTCCTGTGAATAAAGAAAACCTGCATAAGGTCGCAAATACATTTTTGTACATTGCGGACATTTTTCAGCCGGCTTGTATGGCGCTAATGTACAGAGTTACTTATACTCGCTGTGGTCTGAAGTCAAAGATTACTGAAGAAGCTTTGTACAGTTATAAGTAAAAACAAAATGGTTGCTTGTGATAAAGCTATTTTTAATTTGTTGTTTTATTGAACCATTTACTTTTTCTTGTCAACTACTATTCAGTAAACCTCTTCCCCAACATGTTATGAGGCATATAAGAAAAAGAAGATATGAAGTATTCTCTACACACCTTTACGGTCAAACACCATACGCGTGCTTTTTCAGCTGCCGTAATGGCTCTGAAATATATTTAGTATGCAATATGTATGCATAAAAATCTCCAGATTTCGTAGCTCTGGTTTAACTATCCTTCTGTACGAAACTTATGCACAGTTGGAAAATGTTACCACACAATTTATAAGAATAGTAATACCTTGTGCAGCGAATAACTTTGTGGTCAGGCCGTACGATACATAATATTGTGCTGAGCACCGATGGTTTCGAATTGTACATAGACAAGCAAGTCGTAGGCGTGCGTTTGACAAAAATTACTACGTCCGGTGAAAGAGATCCGGTTTTGCTCACAACTGATCATTGATCAAATGTTTTGAATTGCGCAAACAAGACAAGCACTAAAGGAAAAGAACAGGATACACGTTGCGCTTTTTGTGCCATCGTCTCTTCCTTTAGTCGTTGTCCTGTTCACGCTGTTCAGTCGAATCGATAAGATCCGGTTATCCGTTCTCATGACTATTGCGTACTATGCCGTATCCGCTATATCGAATGGCTGCTATGTGCCCGAACTAACGCTTAGTATTGTACGAAAGAACTTATTAGAAAACACGAGACTCGCTTCGCATACACAGATGCTAAGTCCGAAATGGTATATAGTAATTACGGCACTCGGCTACTGACGTGAAAGCAGCTGGTTCGATCAGGGCTGCCAAAGTCACATTTCGATGAATGTTACCGGCCCATGTATTGTGCAACATAGGTTGAGGGTCCTCATCATCAGCATCATCATCATGACAATGCCTACTGCAGGACAAAGGCCTCTCCTATGCATGATCCGCCAGTCAACTCGGTCCTGTGCTTGCTGCTGCCACTTTATACCCGCAAACTTCCTAGACTCATCTGCACACCTAACTTCCCGTCTCTCGTTTACCCGCTTGCGTTCTCTTGGAATCCAGTGTGTGATTGTTAATGAGCAGCGGTTATCTTTCCTTCGCACTACGTGCCCTGCTCATGACCATTTCCTCTTTATTTTGACTATGATGTTCCGAACACCCGTTTGTTCCCTGATACACTCTGCTCTCTCCTTGTCCCTCAGGGTTAGACATATCATTTTCCGTTCCGTTGCTCGCTGCGTGATCCTCAACTTAAGCTGAACCTATCTGTCCTCCGGATTTCTGCTGTTCAGGTAAGTGCCGGTAAGGTGGAGCTGTTATATACATTACTCTTGAGGGATAATGGCAGTCCACCATTCATGATTTGAGATTGCGTGCCGAATGTGTTCCTCCCCATTCTCATTCTCCTAGTTACTCTAATCTCGTGGTTCGGCTTCGTGGTTACTCCCTGTCCTAATTAGACGTACTCTTTTGCAACTTGAAGTGAACTGCTACCTATCTCGAAGCGGTGTTATCTTCCGAGGTTGTCATACATTACTTTCGTTTCCTGTAGAATAAATTTAAGACCTACCTTTTTCCTCTCATAGTCTGATTCAGCAAGCATTAATTGCAATTCGTCCGCTGAGTCATTCAGCAATACAATGTCATCGGCGAAGCGCAGGTTACTAAGGTACTCTTCATTAACTCGTACTAAGGTACTCTCCATTAACTCCATCCTCTCATCTTACACTCTTATGTATTGGTATTTTGTCGCTTTCTTTATTGAGCAGTATGGTAGCAGTTCAGAATCCGCTGTAGATTTCTTCAATGTTTATATATGCTTCAAGTTCAAGGTAAAGAACACAAAATGCTGAAAATTTCCGGAGCGCCACACTCGGCCTCGTAATCGTAGCGTTGTTTTGGAACGTGAAGCCACAGAACCTGTACGCATAAGTAAAATATTTTGCACTGTTTAACTGTATTAAAAATCATTCGTACGAGCAAATAGAGACAAAAACAAAACTTTCATTAAAGCGACGTAGAAAAAAAGCAGCTATAGCAGGTTTTTTACTACCTAATATCGCAAAATTATAAAGGACTCCAGCTATTCGTAAAAAAAAAAAAAACGATGTCGAAGCCTGCACCAAGTCACGAAAGGCTTGAAGCAGCGAAACTGGACAATTCTGAAGTGCAATATGGTTATTTTGATGTTGCTAGGCTTTTGCAAGGTTTCTTCTCAGTGCAGGGTGGCTCAAGATAAACGACAGATAGACGCGACACGGATGTCTTAACTCCATACTCGCACTTCAGTCGAGCCTTAGCACTTCCGATATCTGTACGGACATGCCGTTAGCGTAGGGCTTCCATCCCCTCAGTGTATTCTCGCAGCCGCCATGCCCTTTCCTCATTCCTGTATTCTCTAGTTGTACGTAACAATGAAGCAATCCGTACAGATGATTCAGCCCCGCCGCGGTGGTCTGGTGGCTAAGGTACTCGGCTGCTGACCCGCAGTTCACGGGATCGCATTCTGCCTAGAAACCTTAATTTGTGTTTTTCCACTATTGCCTTCTGCATTTTCAGTCCCCCAACTATATGTTGGGAGATTGGCTCAAGTTCTGTGGCACATACTTGTTCGGGATAGCGATAGTTTTTTGTATGCATTTGTGCAAACCAATGCTATTACGGCTCGCTTAAAAAGCTGAGGTGCTAAAATATTTTTGTGGGGATATGTTAGTGTACTATATACATATCATCCCACTTAGTATCTAAACCAACAAGGATTGTAGAAAATCACTTTTCGCCGCCAACATGCTACCTTAGCAACAAATCAAACTAAGCAAGAAACTACAAGGACGATTCTGAAACAGGCTGAAATGTTCTCGCGGCTATGCAATTCCATCGCAAAAAAAAAAGAAAGTCCCACAGAAAGGACAAAAAACTTGCGGATAGCGGAAACCTGGCCGCTGTTTGAAAACTTCCAACGACCATAGAATCGAACAAAAAATGTTTAATGGAAGGGCTTTACATGTGAGTTGAGTTTCCGTTTCGAACAGCTTCGGCGGCCGGTATTTTCACGTCTCTTCATTCTAATCACGAAACGACACACAAGCGAAAGCTCGCACCTGCCAACTTCTTTGATCTTGATAACGGTGAAACACCTGTAGAAAGCTATTGTGTTGTTCTAATTTGTAACCTGGAATTGCAACCAATCAACTTCATTGGCAAGTTACTACCTCTGGCGGCCAGCTAATGGCATTAGGCACTTTCTAAACCGGAAGTTTTGTTAATTCTTTTCCACCGCATTTCAAGACACCTTTAAGTGTATCGATTCCTTTGTTTCATGAGACGAAGGCTATGCCGTCGCTCTTCCTCAAGTATAGAATAAGCTTGGCCATATCTATACTGGCAGCATTATTTAGAATCTATTATGACCTCAATGTGGGATGGCCTCGTATCGAAACTAGCCCCAAGAGCTATTATGTGTTACTTGCCCAACAGCATGCATACTAAGCTCACGACTTCAATAAAATGGCTGTGTTAAGTGCTGAATCTGCTCTTGAAATTTTTACCGTTACGGACCTCGCATGTGCCTGGTGATGCGTGACACTTACGCTTTGTTGTGGTGTGATGGTACGGGGTCCGGCAACACTGTACGCGAAACAGCTCACAGGCCACAGACTTGACGCTTGATTGCGTCACGCCACGCACGACTTTCTGGTAGCATGCCGAGGCTTCGGTTATAAAGAGACACGAGTCATATGTTCAGTGAAGAGAAAACAGGGTGGGGCGATAGCTAGCAAATTTCGCAAGGCTCGATCCACCAACAACCTACGACATCATAATCCTAGGGCTTGTACGTATCCTTTCGTTTAATCCCGTGTTCAATGGAACGCTTTCATGTAATTACGTGTTAAGCCTTGTCCCGTTGCGCGTTTATTGTATTGATATTTCATCATTGACGGTCGCTTCTGTCTATGCAAATTACAGTGCCGATATTTCTTCATTTCATGTGGTGAGTGAGATTGAGTGAGTGAGGGAGTGAGTGAGGGAAACGATTTATTAGGCTCGTACGGGGTCTATTCTTGGACTTCGTATGAAATTGATGACAAGATCTCTGCCCCATCACATTCTCCATTTTCGGTCAACTGGAGTTTAGAATATCCGAATATACATACAGGCGTAGCCGTCGTGGGTGCAGTCTGGTCGTTCGAAGTCTAGGGTCGGGCGAAAGCTAGTCTGGCGGTTAAAAATTCATGGCTGAAGAGAACTTACTTTCGCGAACTAAAATTCAAAACAAAACAACAGAATTAATGTTTCTGCACCCAATACGGGTGCGTTGTTCGCAATGAAATGCACGTGGTCTTGGGCACCCATATTGGGCACAGAAACGTCAAATCTGCTTTTCTGTGTTCTGTTTTAGTTGTCGAGTGTGCGTTTTCCTCAGCCAGCTAGATCTGTTGTTTGTATTCGACTACTCGCTCAACACAATATTTTTCTGTCGAGATTGACGACGTTTCGACTTCGCAAGTCAAGGCGAAAATAGCAAGGCATTTCGCTCGCAGTGTAAGTGTTCTAACAGTGCCAAAAATGAGTTTAAAAAGGCAGAAAATGAATCTGCTAGAACCACTTTTACAGCTTGGTGAAAGAATTCGAAAATCCAAAATGATGTAAACACAGCTGGGAGCAGGCGAATCGCAACGCGTCAAGCAATTTTTTTTGCACGGATTCCATGATACTGGGGTATATGGGAGCGATCGAGATCAGTGTAGCCGTTGTTGACAACTTACACAATGGCTATGGCAGACAATAGCGTATCGGCCAAAGAGATGACGATTGGTCAAGGTTAGTAGTGAGGACAGTGAGACTAAAGCAATGAATACAATTTTACGATCCATGATTGACGAGACGGAGCAAAACGTGTGGTGAAAAAAGCAATTAGCGGTAGAGCCTGAGAAAAGTAAGAAGAAAAGCAATCATCTTACTTTGTGATTCAAAGAAAATAGAAAGAATAACGAGCAAGAATCAAACGATATTGAAACTGGATAAAAGCGAGAAAAAAGACTTTGAGTGAGGTAGAGACAAAGCAAAAAAAAGAGTAAAAAAAGTGAGCTATTGGACTAAATGAAAAAAAAATACCAGATGACTCAGAAAACAATATTGGGGTAAAAACCAAAATCTCGAACAAACAAGAAACCCACCAAGCTCACCCAGTTTCTTTCACGTGTTGCTAAAGTAGCGCATTGCCTTGAATATTCAGACGCAATTATGAATATGCGTGATAAATCTGTCATAATTGTTTTCACCGGATGTCGTCTGAAGTGGAAATCACTTACATAGTTTTTTTGTTTTTATTTTTAATTTGTACAATACCGCAGACAGTACTCAAAGCTGTAGAGGATGTACACACACAC